TCTCAGATCACAATGGCATGAAACTAGAAATCAACTGCAACAAGAACATGCAAAGACATTTCAACACATGGAGGCTAAATAGCATGTTATTAAACAATGAATGGGTCACCGAGGAGATCAAGGAAGAAATCAAAAACTTCCTGGAAACCAATGAAAATGAACACACAACAACACAAAATCTATGGGATGCAGCGAAAGCAGTTCTGAGAGGGAAGTTCATAGCACTACAGGCCTACCTCAAAAAACAAGAAAAATTTCTAATTGTCTAACCTCACAACTTAAAGAATTAGAAAGCAAACAAAAAGAAAACCCCAGAGCAAGTAGAAGGAAGGAAATAGTAAAGATCAGAGCAGAAATAAATGACATAGAGACCAAAAAAACAATTCAAAGGATCAATGAAACAAAGAGCTGGTTTTTCGAAAAGATAAACAAGATTGATGGACCCTTAGCTAGACTCACCAAGAAACAAAGAGAGAGAACCCAAATACACAAAATCAGAAATGAAAGAGGAGAAGTAACAACCAACACCACGGAAATACAAAAGATCGTTAACAACTACTATGAACAACTATATGGCAACAAATTCGACAATCTCAGCGAAATGGACAAATTTCTAGAAACACACAGTCTCCCAAAACTATTCCCGGAAGAGATAGAAAACTTGAACAGACCAATAACAACTAAGGAAATTGAAGAGGTAATCAAGACTCTCCCAGCAAACAAAAGCCCAGGCCCAGATGGTTTCACGGGGGAGTTTTACCGAACATTCAAAAAAGAACTAACACCCATTCTCCTCAAACTATTTCAAAAAATTCAAGAAGAAGGAAGACTTCCAAACACGTTCTATGAGGCCAGCATAATTCTAATTCCAAAACCAGAAAAAGACACTACGAAGAAAGAAAACTACAGGCCAATATCCCTGATGAACATAGATGCCAAAATCCTGAACAAAATACTAGCAAATCGGATCCAGAAATACATCAAAAAAATTATTCACCATGACCAAGTGGGATTCATTCCAGGGATGCAAGGCTGGTACAATATTCGCAAATCAATAAACGTGATACACCACATAAACAAAATGAAGAATAAAAACCACATGATCATATCAATAGATGCTGAAAAAGCATTCGACAAAATCCAGCATCCATTTCTGATAAAAACGCTCAGCAATGTAGGAATAGAGGGATCATATCTCGACATAATAAAGGCCATATATGAAAGACCTATAGCCAACATCATACTCAATGGACAGAAACTAAAAACATTTCCATTAAGAACAGGAACAAGACAGGGATGTCCACTTTCGCCACTCTTGTTTAACATTGTACTGGAAGTCTTAGCCACAGCAATCAGACATGAAGAAAAAATAAAAGGGATCCAAATTGGAAAGGAGGAAGTGAAACTGTCATTATTTGCAGATGACATGATATTGTACATAGAAAACCCTAAAGACTCCATCAAAAATCTATTAGACTTAATAAATGAATTTGGCAAAGTAGCAGGATACAAAATTAACGTCAAGAAATCGACGGCATTCTTGTACATCAATGATGAACTCACAGAAAGAGAAACTGAAAAAACAATCCCATTTACCATCGCTCCAAAAAAATTACGATACCTAGGAATAAACTTAACCAAAGAAGTAAAGGACCTATTTGCAGAAAACTACAGGTCATTGAAAAAAGAAATAGAGGAAGATATAAAAAAGTGGAAGAACATACCCTGTTCATGGATTGGAAGAATTAACATAATTAAAATGTCCATACTACCCAAAGCAATCTATAGATTCAATGCAATCCCCATCAAAATACCAACGACATATTTCATAGAACTAGAACAAATACTTCAAAAGTTCATATGGAACCAAAAAAGACCCCGAATAGCCACAGCAATCTTGAAAAAGAAGAACAAAGTTGGAGGGATCACATTACCAGATATCAGGTTATACTACAAAGCGACTGTAACCAAAACAGCCTGGTACTGGCACAAGAACAGGCATATAGACCAGTGGAACAGAACTGAAAACCCAGAAATGGACCCAAGGCAATACGCTCAATTAATATTTGACAAAGGTGGCAAGAGCATACAGTGGAGTAAAGACAGCCTCTTTAATAAATGGTGTTGGGAAAATTGGACAGCTACATGCAAAAAAATGAAACTCGACCATCAACTTACACCATACACAAAAATAAACTCAAAATGGATAAAAGACTTAAATGTGACCCGTGAATCCATAAAAATTCTAGAAGAAAATGTAGGCAACAAAATTTCGGACATCATACGGAGCAGAATTTTCACTGATACATCACCTAAGGCAACAGAAATAAAGGAGAAAATGAACACATGGGACTACATCAAACTAAAAAGCTTCTGCACAGCAAAAGAAACGATCATCAAAATGGAAAGGCAACCCACTGTATGGGAGAACATCATTGCCAATGATGTATCAGATAAGGGGTTAATTTCCAATATATACAGAGAGCTCACACAACTCCACAAAAGGAAGACAAAGAACCCAATTAAAAAATGGGCAGAGGAGCTGAATAGACACCTCTCCAAACAGGACATACAAATGGCCAAGAGACATATGAAGAAATGCTCAACATCACTAATCATCCGAGAGATGCAAATTAAAACAACAATGAGGTATCACCTCACACCTGTCACAATGGCCGCCATCAACAAATCATCAAACAACAAGTGTTGGCGAGGGTGTGGAGAAAAGGGAACTCTAATACACTGCTGGTGGGAATGCAGACTGGTGCAGCCGCTATGGAAAACAATATGGTGCTACCTCAAAAAATTAAAAATTGAACTTCCATTTGACCCAGTGATCCCACTGCTGGGAATATACCCTAAGAAGCCTGAAACACCAATCAGGAAGAATATATGTACCCCCATGTTCATAGCAGCACTATTTACAATAGCTAAGATCTGGAAACAGCCCAAGTGTCCACCAGTAGACGAATGGATCAAAAAGCTGTGGTACATATACACAATGGAGTACTATGCAGCGGTAAGAAAGAAAGATCTCTTATCCTTTGAGACGACATGGAGGGACCTGGAAAGTATTATCCTAAGTGAAAGAAGTCAAGCAGAAAAAGACAAATACCACATGATCTCACTTATATACGGAATATAATGAACATAACAGTCTGAGGAATACAGTAGACCCAGACACATGGAAGTAGGGCACAGACTGACATCCCTCAGAAGAGGGGATGGGGGGTGGGGGGGTGGGAAGAGATAAACCACAGAACTTATATGCATGTATGCATGACCAATGGACATGGACAACTAAGCCGGGGACAGGGTGGAGGGGGTGGGGTGGGGGGTGCCAATGGGGTAAAAAGGTAAAATATCTGTAACAAAAAAATAAATAAAAATTCATAATAAAAAAAAAAACAAAAAAAAAACAAAAAAAACAAAAAAAACAAAAGGGATTTGTGGAATAGGTAAATATGTGTTATTTAAATAAAGGTACGATTTGAAAAAGAGTTTTATAATTGTGATGAAAAAGATGAGACCATTTCTTTACTCTCTAAAACAATCTGAAATTGTTTTGGGGGCATCAGATCTAATTTTTAGATAGGAAAGTGGTTAAGGAGGGACTTTTATTTCCTGCTGTCTACACTCAGGTTTTGTTTGAGATTTTCATACATAGGTGTGTCGCTTTTATAAGCAGAAAAGAAATGAAGGGGTTTGTTTTGTTGAAAATGAGAAGTGGTGCCCTGACCTGTTTTGCTCAGTGGTTAGAGCATTGGCCTGCAGACCAAAGAGTTGCGGGTTCAATTCCGGTCCAGGGCACGTACTTGGGTTGCAGTTCGGTCCCCGACTCTGGTCAGGGTCATGCGGGAGGCAGCCAGTCGATGTGTCTCTCTCATATCAATGTTTCTCCCCCCCCCACCACCACCACTCTATCTGAAGATAAATAGAAAAATATCCTCAGGTGAGGATTTAAAAAGAAAGAAAATGAGAAGTGGCGTTTTGGTGCTTTAAACCGTACTGTCTGCTGGAACCTTCTGTGACTACAGAAGTGTATATCTGTGCTGTCCAGTGCAGCAGCCACTAGTGACATGTGGCCAGTCCAGTAAGCACTTGAAATGTGGCCAGTGTGACTGGAGAAATGAATTGAATTTTTAATTGTATCAATTTTAGTTAAATTCAGTTCAAATAGCCACAAGGACTAGTAGCTAGGGCATTGGACAGCGCAGCTCTGAGCAATCATTTTATGCTAATATATACACACACTTTTCCTATTCCTTTGTGCAGTCATCCTTTTCATTTATTCTTCCATAAAGATAGTTTATATGGTAGTTTTATGTTAAATTTTGCACACTTTCAATTTCCCCACATAATTTATGTGGTATTTATACTGTGATTATGGTTTGATATTTCTTGTACATAATAGATAACCCTGTAAAGCATTTTCTAAACAATGTCCTAACCCTAAATAATTACCTAAATGTGTCACAGTGGGGGAACTGAACATCAGCTCTTGACTAGCACATTGGGCAGACACTAGGGAGGATGATGATGATGGAGTCACTCAGTGGTTAGAGCTTTGGCCCGGGCACGGAAGGGTTGAGGGTTTGATTCCCAGTGAAGGGCATATGCATGAGTTGTAGGTTCCATACCTGTCCCCAGTCGGGATCCTGCAAGATGCAACCAATGTGTCTCTCTTACATTGATGTTTCTCTCTTTCTCCCTCCCTCCCTCCCACTCTATCTAAAAATCAATGGAAAAATATCCTCAGGCGAGGATTAACAAAAAAATAAAAGAAAATAATACCAATTATCCCTGTCTTTCTGTTTAATTTTCCTGTGCCTAGTTTCTCAGCATCTGTGGATGCTGACAGTTACTTAGTTTGACTTCTTCCAGAAGGAGGTTTGTTAACTTTTATGTGACTTCATTTTACTTTTCCATGTAATGAAACATTTTGTTGAATTTCTCTCTTTTTTAAAATTTGATTTTTCTTCTCTTGTCCTCTTGCTCAGCCACACTGGGATTGTCATCTACTGAGGTATGTTATAGTAAGAAGGGTAGGATTGCCCTGGCCAGTTTGGTTCAGCGGTTAGAGCATCGGCCTGCGGTCCAGAAAGACCCGGGTTCAGTTCCCGCTAAGGGCAGGTACCTTGGGTGCGGTTTGTCACCGGCCCTGGTTGGGTTGTGCGGTTGTGCGGGTGGCAGCTACTCGATGTGTCCCTTTCACGTCAATGGTTACCAAAAAAAAAAAGGAAAAAATGTCCTCGGGTGAGGATTAAAAAAAAAGAAGAAGACTAGGATTTACATGCATAGCCTTTTTTAAAGAGTTTCTGAGCCAAAAATAATGTATAGGGCTATGACTTTTTAAAAAATGTATTTTTAAATATTATTTTTTTCTGTTTGTGGCAATAGCACATTTTATCTGAGAGATATGTTTCATTGAGAGAATGTTTCAATGAGAGAACGCGAGTAAACCAGGTCTTAATTAAGATGGTGTAATCTTGAATCCAGTACCCTTTAAAACTGGATCCCCAAAAGGGACCTCCAGAGGATGAAAGGAGCCTGACCTTGGACTGGGTATCCCCAAACCTCTGAAGACAACTATAATGGAGTGAACACTGCCCCTTATATGGGTGTGTCTGTGAGATTATTAGCTGGTCACCCACAGTGACAGACACTTGTTTATCTAGATTTACAGATGAGTGGCAACTATGTGTGTTATGGCTGGATTCAATTGTGCTGTTGTACTGTGAAAGCAGCTGTAGACAATTGTAATGAATGAGCAAGGTTTTTTCGTTTTTTTTTATCCTCACCCGAGGACATTTTTGCATTTCTCTTCAGATAGAGCGGGAAGGAGAGAGGGAGGAAGAGAGAGAGACACATCGACTGGCTGCCACCCACACAATCCCATGGGGCTGGGGACAAACTGCAACTAAGGTACGTGCCCTTAGTGGGAACCAAACCTGGGACTTTCTGTTCTGCGGGCCAACGCTCTAACCGCTGAGCCAAACCGGCCAGGGCAATGAGCAACATTTTTGAACACAAGCTTTTCCAGTAGTGCTGACTACAGTTAACTTTGACCGTGACTTTTCTGCCTCTTTGGCTTCCCACAGGATGAGGGTGAGGATCCCTGGTACCAGAAAGTGTGCAAGTATGATTGCCAAGGAAGTGCCAATGCCCTGTGGTCTGCGGGCGCCGCCTCCCTAGACTGCATACCGGGTGAGTGAGTGTCCCCTCTCCTTGGAGCACCAGACCCTTGGGTGTCCTTGAGAACATCCTATTTCTCCTTTCTTTCAACCCAGCTTAATTAAACCCCTGATATGCCACGCTCTGGGTTTTCTCCAGTTGGCCTCTGAGCTTCAAATCTCACATGGCCATTGCTCTAAACTGTCCTGATGCCCTTGTCCAGAAAAGCTTTCTGGATCTCTGCTTGGCCTGGGTAAGATGGTAAGATAGGACCTAATAAAGAGATTAATGGATAATTAATTGAAAATAAATTAATAGTAGGTAGCAGGGAGTTTTGAGAAGAGGTTAGGCTTTTGAGCCAGAAAAGACCAGAGCTGGAATCCTGGCTGCATCACTTCTTAACTCCGGGACTCTCACTTTGGCCTTTTTCTATCAAGCGGAAGCAATACTGATATTGGAGAAAAATATGTCTCATCTTCCCTGGTTGCTAGTGGGAGTGAGGTTCTTGGGATACCACTGGAAGAAGCATTTCTGGACGCCCCCACAGGAGGATGAGATATGGTAGAAAGCTTTATTTCCATGGAATTACATCCCTGGGTTTCCAAAGTCCCATTTCCCTTAGTCCAGTCATAGAAGAAGTATAGCTGGGGTTTCAATGGAGCTAGCAACAAAGCCTGTGTCCAGAGTTTTCTTTACATGTTGGAGCCACGTCCAGTTCAGCATCAGGCTAGCTGTAGTCCATTAGTCCATTGTGTGTGGGGTGCGCACGGGTGTGGGCCATGTGGGCAAATGCAAGGAAGCAGGAGCGAAAGAGCCCCACAAGCCCAGTCACATGAGTTCCCAGAGAGCCAAGAGAGCGAACACCTTTGTTTAAGGGGTTATGTATCCCAAATCTTCACGCCCTTGCAGTGTCCATGCCCATTCTGGCCAACCATCTCTGTCCCCGGGTGTAATTGACAGCAAGCACCTTCATTAGCCCCCCCCCCCCTAATTTATTGGGCATGCACCCATCTTCCCTTTGTTGGTCCCCTGGGGAGTGTAAAGTTGTAGCTTCCTGGTGGAGCTGCCCAAGTGACATGCCTATAATATCTGGCCTTCCCTTTGTGCCTTTCCTATTATTAATAACTAGCTAATTTCAACAGTATCGATACTACTGTGCCTGGATAGTCATTACTCACCGAGCAGCCATGTGCTTCCCCCCATCCCAGCCCCACTGCAGCCAGGTGGCTTCATATGAGCGCTTCCCGCCAAAGCGAGCAGTGTCCCTTCCGAAATAAGGCATTTAAGGCCTGCTGGTACTCCAGTTCTCCATTTTCCTGCTTGAGAAAGTGGCTTGTCCCTCAGCCTGGGTGCCAGGGAAATGCCATGGAGCAGAAACCCCTGCCAACCCACAATGGCCAAGTCACCCGAGTGAAAAATAAACCTTTGTTGTGTTAAGCCTCAGAAATTTCTGGATGGTTTGTTCTGCAGCATAACATGGCCTTTTCTGAGTGATGTGAATTCCCACCTTCCTCTAAGGCAGGGGCCAGCAAGCTTTGTCTGTAAAGGACCAGATAATAAGTATTTGTGGTTTTATGGGTCCTGCCTTCTCAACTTCTCAATTCTGCTATTGTTGCTCAAAAAGCAGCCATAGACAATAGGTAAATGTATGTGCATGGCTGTGTGCCAATAAAACTTTATTTACAAAAACAGGCAGTGAGCAATATTTGACCGGAGGCCACAGTTTGCAGACCCCTGCTCCAAGGACTTGGGAATAAATTGGATGAGGCATTAAAGCACATTGTGCTGTACCTGGCAAACTGGAGCTCCTTTTCTTCCTGCCTCCTAAGAGCTCATGCTCTGGCTTTCAGAGGCTGGAGCGGCTGCAAATATTTGCAATGTTCAGTCCCCTCCAGGCTCTGAGCTTCTTTGGCATGAAACTGTCCTTGTCACCCCTCTCCAGGGTTACAGAGGGCCTTGTAACGTCATTCACTTTACATAATCGCCTAATAATAGCTCCAGGAGAGACAGGTTTGTGTGTATGCCTGTGAGCTTCTCTTCATTATTTCATTAAATTTGCATTAAAATAGCAAATTGTGGGGGAGAGAAAGAGGGTAGTGTACAATGGCTTTTACTGCTTCCGTTTTCCTTTTACTAAAGTGGTAGAAAGTCTTTTCTGAACTAAGTCTCACAGAAGGGAACAGTGGGGTCCCCATAGTGAGGAAAGCAGTACGTGCTGTTCAGTTCAGTGGGCTTCCCAGTGGACCGGAGCTCCTGCAGCCATTACTTGTTCGGATGATCTGCCCAGTCAATATTGAAGCACCCTCCTTAATAATCCACTTAGAATTCCGCCCCCTTTTATCATGTGCCTTTTATGTGCCAGACACTGATGGAGAGACAAAAATGAAAGCATTGTCTTCACCCTGGAGGAGTTTACCATTTAGTGAAAACAAATGTTCTCTTCACTAGAGGCAGGAGGCCTACTGGAATTCCATTCCAAGGAAGTTCTAAGAAGAAATTGAAAAGAGATGATTTATGCAGATTGGATTCACTGACCCAATCAACTGTGAAACTGAGGAGGGACTTGTGTTTGAGGAATGTGAAGAAGACCCCGGTCCCCAAAGCTTTCTCCCCTACATTGCCATGAACTGGAAGTTCTGAAATCAGAAATTCTTTAGCTCACCTGTTCTCTCCCCACTGTTTTTGTTTGTTTCATTAAAAAAAATTTTTTATCCTCACTTGAGGACTTTTTTTCCATTTTTGTTCAGATAGAGTGGGAGGGAGAGAGAGGGAGTGACAGAGAGAGAGAGAGAGAGAGAGAGAGAGAGAGAGAAGAAGAGAGAGAGAGAAAGAGAGAGAGAGAGAGAGAGAGAGAGAGAGAGAGAGAGAGAGACAAGCGTGAAAGGGATACATGAATTGTTCGCAGGACTTCAACCAAGGTCAGGGACAAACCACAACCAAGGTATGTGCCCTTGACCGGAATTGAACCTGCGACTCATTGGTCCGCGGGCTGACGATGCTCTAACTGCTGAGCCAAACCGGTCAGGGCTCATTTTGTTTTTATAACAATGCAGATATTTCTACGAAGGAAAAAAACACAACGTTGGTGTTAATTGGTTTATTCATTGGTAGTAATTGGGTTTTCCATGAAACACATGAAGTCAGTTGCCCGTCAGTGGCTCAGATCCTTATTGATATGGTGGTCGATATCTCCGGCCTCTGCGATTCAAGGCCTCCTGCAGACTTTGATTTAGGGGTAAAGAAGAGACTAGAAAGCACAGAAGGACAGGAAGGTCATTCATAGCTGCCAAAAAAGGAGCTCCCAGGTGCACACTGGCTCTTACTGCCCAGGGACCCCACCCATAGAGCAAAGACTAAGTGCTTATTTGTAATCTTCACCTTAACACTATTAAAACTACTGAAAGGTCTATCTTTCCCACCATTGAGCCAAGATTACCTCAGCACTCTGAGGCAGGAATAGGTTAGGGAAGGTATCAAAGTATAAGAAATCCAATGACTCAATGCTTTACTTTTATTCCAGATTCTATATTTCTACATTATATTCAGATTTATATTCTATTCTTCTGTAAATGCTATTCAATATTCTACTACATTGTCATAGGTATTCAAGTCTAATACACATGCAGAATAATATTCACATCTCTCTTGACAAGAATGTCCCTGAACTCTCTTTGTGTCCCTTTAGGTTATAATGTCTTTTATAAGCATGTCTGGCCTGCATGCCTACAAATTGAGAAACTATGTACTGAATAAGAAAGGCTAGTATGTTAAGTATCCACAGTCTGAATTAGCAGCACATTGTGAATTTGCCTTTATCCATCTAATTATCAAATCATCGCTCAGAAGAGCCACTTGTGACAGAAGATGCAGGTTTTGCCTTAAGAGTAAAATGAGTACAGACATAGGCCAGTGGGGCTTTGGGCCAGACAACTTCTACTTTCTCCCCGGGCTCATTGCTTCCTATTTCTGCCATTTTCTCTGCTTATCCTCAGCAGCCACCAAGGGGGGGTGATGATGTTTGTTCATCCATCCATCCTTCATTCATCCATGCAATCAATATCTACGCAGTGCCTACATGTGCAGGCATTCTGCAGGGCTCAGAGGTTAGAATGGTGAGCAAGACAGACTATGCTGCTGACGATTAAATAATCACAGGAGGAGGGACAAGGGTGCTTGGGAAGACATAACCTGGAATCCTTTACTCAGCTCAGGGTAGGCAGAGATCTGAAGGATGAGTAAAGGTGATGGGGAAAAAGAGGGGACAGGAGTGTCACAGGCAGAGGGAACAGCCTCAAGTGAAGGCCTACAGGCCTGCCTGAGGACCTGAAGGCGGCTTAGCCAGGACCATGGGAAAAATAATAAACTAGAATAAAGTTCACTTCACAGCACACAGAGCCCAACGAATGTTACATTTTCTATTTTTCCAAGTTCAAATAACCCCAGTTTGAGTCTCCCTTTGTCATGGCCTACACTCTACAAATGAAGAGTCTAAAGACAGGATTGTGGAAGGTCCTTCTTCTCCCTTTTGGACTATGGGCTTGCAAGGGCTGTCTGGGGCAGAGCCTAGGCCCAGGCTGGGTGGTAGGCTCTCTGCCTGGCCCACAGCCCCACTCAAAGGTCAACACCTTCCCCCTCTGAACCAAACTCAGTCCTGGGGACCTTTCCAAGTTTCCTGAAGGTGTCCAGAGCTCAGGGCTCCCAAGCCCCATCCCTGCTCCAGCCTCATCATGGGCACCATTTCCCAGCTAAGCTCAGGCCCTTCCCATAAGCTCCCCACCACCACCACTGGGCAAGACTCAAAACCCAGAGCCCCTGGCCACCTTCTCCTCTGGAATAATCAGTTGATTCGTTTTGAGGCCTAGACCTTCCAAATCCATAAGCCTGGGAGATGTTATGTTGCCAACAGGCTTCTCTGTCACTCATACACACACACACACACACACAGCTTATTCAGTCCTAGGGAAAGGAGAACCCAGACCTTTAGAAACCTGAAGCTGGGCTCCTTCTCAGATGATGGGAGCGGGGCAGGGCAGGGTAGAGGTGTGTTAGATTCCCTCCCTAGTGATCCTTCATCTGTAAAAAAGAAAACAAAAAACATGCCAAACTCAAATAGACATTACTATATCCTCACAGCTTCACCTTATTCTACCAATATGAGTTGCTGCTTTTTGGCCAGGCACTATAGGCTTTACACTCTACAAATGTTATTTCACATAATCCCACAACAATGTATGGAGGCTGTTGTGTTCTTTTCACAGAGGAGGAAACTGAAGCACAGAGATGTTAAGCAGCTTGCCGAAACTCACACAGAGGGAGAGTGGGATTCAAGTGGGATTCAATCCCAGGTTGCATTGGCTCTAATTTTGATTTTGGCTGCTCATTACAATGACCTGCAGCTTTACCCCATGCCCAGCTCCTGCCCCTGGACCAAGACATCAGAATCTCTGGGGGTTTGGCCCGAACATCAGCACTTCTGCAACTCCCCAGGTGATGCCCAGGATGAGACCCATCAGAGAGGCTCTGCTTTGTGCCCTGGGCCAAACCACCAAGTTTCTGGGTTAGTAGCTGGGTAGCTGGAGGCACCAATGCCTGACACAGGAGCACTGGACAGGGGAAGGCTTGGGGCTTGGATGCTGACGGGCTCATTTTTGGCTATATGGGTATGAAGCATCTTTGAGTCACCCAGATGGAACTGTTCACCTGGAAAATAGTCAGAGGGCCTAAGAGTCAGGCACTGACTCCCAAATGCCTGCTGAAACCATGGGGATGGTGAGATAATCGCTTCCCCTGGAAAGTGTGGACAAGATCCATGTCTGGACAAGTCCTCACAGGCCTCCAAAGTCATTGCCACTGGCCAGGTCCCTGCATGTCTACAGCCCACACTCTTAATTGTTAGATGGGGTAATTGTGAAGAAATGGCAAGAAATATAAGGGGGAACAGAGAAAGATCAAAATACCAAGAATAAAGTTCTTGAGAGAGGTGGCGATGGCTTTTCCTTCCCCTCTGCCCACTCCCTCCAAGCTGGTGGCTCTGGAGCAAGAAAAGGAAGGTTCTGGATACAGGGGACTTAGAGAGACATCCACAGTTAGAATTTAAGTGACCACCAAGGCCCAACTGAAACCTAGCTTTCTGACACTGGGGCCTTGTCCCTCTATCTGGTGGCACAAGTTTGTCTTCTAGTTTGGAGGGGGATGGAGGAGGTGGAGGAGCCCCCAAGGCCATGGGCACTAGGCCCTTGAATCCACCAGTCAACACAACGCCTTCCCTGGCATGCTAAGGTTTCCACTGTGCACTTTGAAAGTGTACTTGTGAAAAAAACTGGTCATTCTGGGAGTGAAATCCTGGAAACTGCATTCTTAATAAGCCCCCTTGATGATTTGGCCACACAGGCAAGTCCATAAAGTTTTCCTCTTCCTTCTCCCATGAACTGACATTTTAATAGTTCCCGGAGCCTTGGGTACTTGATAAACTACAAATGCTTTCCCCTTACCCTCAGTCCCATTGAGCTGCAGCTACTGGTGGGAGTTGGACCTATTTTTTTGGTGCATTGGGTAGAAAGGTGGTTAAGCCCTCTGGCCAGAGGCCCGAAGCTGTCATTTTGTCTTCAGCCTCTGGGGACAGGGCATGGCTGTCCCTGCAGGCATAATGGAGCCTCAGGATGGTGATCAAGCTTTTGCATGCTTCATTCAGTATTACTGACTTCTGAAAATTACTCTCTAGAAAGAACTCAGCTCTCATTTTACTGTGGAAGGTGATGATGCCCCAGTAAATATATTCAGCTCTTCAATATGAACCCAATGCACACATGGAAAAAATAATTTGATTTACCTTACTTGAAGTTTATCATTCACAATTGGAAAACTAGGAGAATGTATTTGCATAAGCTTATCATTTGTTTTCTATAAAAATTCAGGCAGAAGTTGAGTTAGGTTATAAATAAGAGGTACCCTAAATAGTGGCTTATTGAATTAGCTTTGTTTTGACTCACATGGTAAAAAGCCTAGGGGTAGGGATTTTCTTAAGGATATCAGGGCTGAGGTCTCTGCAGTTCTCTTGGCCTTACTTCCATGGTGCAAGATGGCTACTGTTGCACCAGTCATTAGGTCTTGCTTCTAGGCAATAGTTAGAAAGAAGAGGCAAAGCAAAACCTGATCAGAAATCCCCAGCAGATATTCTCTTATATATCTCACTGGTCAGAAATTGTGTCACGTGACTTCTAACTGCAACAAAGGCTGGGAAAGATGCTTTTTTAGCTGGCTACATTGCTGCCCTCAACAAAATTAGGGTTCTTTAGTAAAAAAGAAGGGGGTAATGTATGCTTGGTTGACAATTGGCAGTCTCTGACCAGGTAAACCAACACTGAACGTGAGAGGAAATAACATGAGAGGCAGCAGACAATTAACGCCTAGGAACAAGCTTTGGCTATTCTTCCTTGGGAAAAGCAGTTCCTTTCAATTGTCCTTTATTTGACAGTCACTTGGGCACATTTCACCTTTTCTTTTTCTTTTCATTAGACTAGTGAGAAAACTGTATTTACAAGTGGGAAGTCGATCTCAATATATAATCACCATCCTGCCTCTCACCATTGTTTTTTTTTCCCCCTATAATTGCCATCATATGCTGCTTGAGGACAATTAGGGACCCTGATGTCATCATACAGGATGGCTAAACCTGCATTAATGAGGAAAATAAAGAGTATGACATTTAAATATGATATTTTGCTGTAGACCTCTTGGCTTTTAGGTCTCTGTTTGTGGAGGAGGTAAAGTATTTCTCAACCCCCCCCCGCCCCCAACTGCCAAAGAACCACTTCCTCTGCTTTTATGAATGTCTTGAGTCTCTAAGGCAACTCCCTTATTTCATCTTCAAATGGGATGGTTTGATTTGTCATTTCAGTCATGTCATGTTTATTGAGCATTGTAATGCAATACAAGTGTTTTAATGTGCATTGTTTTTCCTTTCCCAGAATGCCCCTATCATAAGCCCCTGGGTTTCGAGTCAGGAGAGGTTACACCAGACCAGATCACCTGCTCCAACCCGGAGCAGTACGTGGGCTGGTATTCGTCATGGACTGCCAACAAGGCCCGCCTCAACGGTCAAGGCTTTGGGTAAGCAGGCTGGCAGCTCAGCTAATTTTTCCCCCCATGTGATTTGACAAAGTAGGTCCCTTTAATAAACTACTGACACAGAATGCATTTAGTTATTCAACAAACATTGATTGAATGCCTTCCATGTGCCAAGGACTGTGGATACAGCACTGAACAAGGTGGATGAGGTCCTGGCCTTTAGGAAGCACATAGTTTAGAAGGGGAGGATTCTAAACACATAATCACACAACTGATCACTTAGTAAGTGTGATGAGTGCTGCAGAGGAGACAGAGCAGAAAGACCTAGTCCATTTGAAGTACCATGGAAAGGCTTTCTAAGGAAAAGATATTTAACCTGAGACTTACAGTTTGCAAGGTGAGGGGGTGGGCAGAGGATATCGCAGGTGCAAAGTCCCTGAGTAGGGAAGATCCCTTAAGAGCATGGATGGGGGCCGTAAAGAAGGCCCACAAGGTGGGAGCATAGGCAAGGTAAAACTGGAGAGACAGACAGAAGTCAGATCATGCAGGGTCTTATAGTCATGCTAAGGATTGTGGTCCTCATTTTAGGGATAGTGGGAGGACCCTGAAAGTGCATTAGTTAGAATACAGGTTTGTGCTGCTGTAACAAAGAATCCCAAAGTACAGAGACTTCACATAGAGGTATGTTTCCTGCTCATCTAAAAGTTTCATTAGGTGGTCTAGGGTTCTCATGGCAGGTGGATGCTATCAGGGGTCCAGACTCTATCTACCTTATTGTTCAGTCATCCTTAACATGAAGCTTCCATCTTGGAACCCAAGATGGCTGCTCTTAGCACCCACTGTCACATTCAAATTCGAGTCAGTAGAGAGAAAAGGAGAGCAGAGCGCACACACTTTTCCTTTAAGGATTCAGACATAATTGTATTGGCCACTTCTGCCCATATCCCATTGACCAGAATTTAGTCTGATGGCCCCACCTAGCTGCAAGGAGGACTATGAAATGTGATCTTAGCTTGGTGGCCATTTGCCCAGATAAAACTCAGGAGTTCTATTGCTAAAAGGAGATGGGGAGAGGCTATTAGGACACAATTAGCAGACTGTGAGAGAAATATTTAAAGTTGAGGAGTATCACAATCAGATTTGTGTTAAGAGAAAAATCTTGTAGCTCCTGTGGGGAGAGCTGTTCAGATGGGGGACTATGATAATCCAGGGAGATGAATTAAGCTACGGTGGCAGTCCGGGCAACAGTTGAGGGCTAGAATGGTGTCAGTGAAATGGAGAGAAGTAAATGACTTTGAGAAACACTTGGAGATGGAGTCAATAGATGGATTGGCTGTTTGAGGTGACAGAGAGGAAGGGGCCAAGGATGGCTCTCAGATTGCTGGCATGAAGACCTGGGAAGACGGGTCACATTCAGTGAGATGGGTAGCACTGAAGGAGGTTTTGGGGTGAGGATAAATCATAACTCACTTTTGGGCTTGTTTCATTTAAGATGCTCTAAGGCATATGGGAGAAGTTGGTTAGCTTACAGATGATTCTCAGGATCTGGAAATTAGAAAAGGTTTGGGATGGAGGCAGAAAGTCAGAGCCAACTGAGGAGCAAGTCTGGAATTAGAAGAGAAAGTAGCCAAGGACTGAGTTCTGAGAAGCTAATTCATATGCAATAAAAAAGTAGAGGAGCTATGGGTGTCCACAATTTATGAGGGACATAGCTAAAGAAAAAAAAAAGAAAATCCGTTCCATCAAGGTTGGTTATTTTATAATTGTCAAAAGCCCTCCCAGAGCCACTCGGCTCAGTGTTCTGTACATGATACACTCTCCCTGAAAGCCATGCATGACAGCACATGAAGGAGATGCAGATATGTAAAGAGAATGAAATTAAAGAAAAAAGATTCATGGTGAAAGAAACATCAGGTGAGACTAATGAAAAGGGAAGGGGGCTGGTGGGTGCAATAACCATGCATTGAAGAAAGACATGCTCAACCACGCCCCAAAGGTGATTTCAGCTACACTCAGAGGCATTTCTTTGACAAATTAGTTGGATCTGACAAGTTTTCCTCGGGCGGTGGAGGCACAGGGAGAGAGAGAATGATGCAAATGTCACATAGGCTGGGCACTTCTTGGAGACAAGCCTCTGGGTGCTTCAGAGATTGCAGCTCAGTCCAAGCTTAGCGGGGGTTCTTCAGGTGCTGGCATCCCCTCAAAAGTCAGCGTTTCCAGGCTCTTCAGAGACATTTGCAGGGAAGGCTCCTGCTAATTCTCTGTGTCCCTGGCAGGTGCGCCTGGCTCTCCAAGTTCCAGGACAGCAGCCAGTGGTTACAGATAGATCTGAAGGAGGTCAAAGTGATTTCTGGGATCCTCACCCAGGGTCGTTGTGACATAGATGAGTGGATGACCAAATACAGTGTGCAGTACAGGACCGATGAGAGCCTGAACTGGATTTACTATAAGGACCAGACCGGAAACAACAGGGTAAGTCAGGCTTACCCCAAACCACCTTAGCTCACACTCTCTGGGACTCACCTCTTTCCAGTATCCCAGTGTCCCTGTCGCTGTCCTCTGTCAGCACACTGGCCCCAAAGTAGGTCTTTCTTGTTGTATCCATGGTGCCTAGTAGTTAGCAAATGAGTGTCACTCTTGCATACAAAAGAAATCTTTGACTCCACTACCACCACCCCAGCCCAAGTTGCTCTCCCCTTTCCCTGGGCAACTGCACAGCTCTCACTTCCACCCTTTCAAACTCCACTCCACAGAGCAGCAGAGTGAGCTTTTAACAAAGTAAATCAGATCGTGCCCTTCACTGCTTCAATGACTTCCCATTGCACTCATAACAAAATCCCAACTCTTTCCCCGGCCTACAAGGCCCTGGGAGATGTACCCCCAGTGACATTATCCCTTAGAACAGGACACAAGCCAGGATGCTGGGATAATGACAGGCCTGTGTCCTGTCCTAAGGAGCTCTCACCTTGCTACACACCTTCTGCCTAGAAGACTCTTTCCCCAGACCCTGACCACAATGGCTCATTATTACTCGGGACAAGCTCCAATTTACTCTGCTTAGACAGGCCCTCTTTCCCTAACCACACTATCAAACAGCCACTGTTTCTTCAAATACCTCCATCTTATCACTTTATCTTTCTTCATAGCACTTACCACTTTCTGAAAACATCTTTCTTATTTATTGGTGTACTTGTTTATCAACAGTCTCCCCACTGAATATACAAGACCCACGGGAGACAGATGTTTTATGCACTGCCGTATATCTCATGCCTAGACACGGGTCTGACCCAATGTAGTCACACAATGAATAGTTGTTGAATGAGTGAAAAATAAAATAGGAAAATAGAAGGAAGAAAGGGAAGAAGGGAATGAACTCAATTCGGTTCATCAAACATTTGTTGCCGTTTGATGGATCCAATCTGTTCCTGAATTCATGCATATTCTGTGTTTTAGATAAACCCCCAAACCTCAGGACCACAGTTAAGGGGTGATGCAAAAATAAGAAGTAGTTTTGTAAGTGTGAAATCAATACCGAAAGTCACCTGTTAGTACACATTGGATTGAGCTCATATTGGATGGCTGAAGCAATATCTAGGAACTCTTACTAATAAAAAATCTGAAAATTAAAAAAAAAAAAAAAAGAAATCTTTGAGTTCTCATATCAGGATATAGTGGCTTGAATAATCAAAACCAACCATTTTGACTATTTCAAACTCATTGGATTGTTGAACACTTTGCTGCATAGATCTGATTTGATCTATTACTGATGCAGATAAATCCTGCTCCATTGATGTAGATATGGCCTCTCCTTACTATTGATTGAGACTGACAGCTGAGATGCTCTAGACAACCCAGCATGTTAGCCAGTAAACTACAGAAATGTTTAAAATGACTCCAGCAGTGCAGACATAGAGGCCCTTAAACTTTTATATGCCAGTAAACTCTGAGTGCCAAGGCCCAACTCTTGTTCATCCTAGACTAGACACAATAGACTCTCTCAATGTATCTCTATCTCTATCTGTTCACATATATCTTATATCTTTGTATACATACATATATGTATATGATGAATTAAAATTTTACTAGCTATTTGGAAATGTTAATTGCTCTTTTGCCTGTGAGGACTTCTCCCAGCTAATTTGGACATTCAATCAAGTCAAGTAGACATGTGCAGCTGAAAATCAAAAGGCTTTGTACCCTCTGATGGGAATCCATATAGCAAGACATTCATGGGTTGAGATTTTAAGGAGTTTGAACACAATAGGTAAAACCATATTGATACTTGGATCTTTTATTCCATTTTTGTTCTTATTGGCTTTTCAAAAAGATAATGGGAATTCTTTTCAAGCACTGTTTCTGAAGGCCTTGGGGGTTCTTGTCAAAGAAGCACTCCACTTGGGCATTTGCACAATCTGGAGGAGCCTGTTCCATCCTCCCTCTTCACCTGGCTGCTGCCTTGAATAGATTCAAGGGCAAGCAGGTTAGAGGAGATGTGGGGTATTGTTATTGAGAAGAAAGGTAAGATCATGGCATAGGAGGTCCTTCTTGTTTTGTGGATGGATGAGGCCAATTTTTCCCAGAAGATAATACCAGAAGGGAATAAAATGTTACAGTGTCATCAGGCAGAACTCTATGACTCCAGAAATAGTGAAAAGAATGATTTCTTTGGAAATACAGCCAAACATTCACTGCACCTTTTATGTTTCACCCACTGCATCATGCCACGTTATATCCTGAAAACCATAAAACAAACCATTTTCCTCTCTTCTCTGGGCACTACCCTCCTCCTTTCAGAATCTTCCTTCTAGTTTTTTTTTTCTTTTAAAAAACATTTCCAAGAGTAGAAAGTACCTGCTGTTTGTATCAATGTAGAGACACACTGTTAAACTTTAGCTCATGACTGCAGAGCCAGCTCACACGTTTTTACTTGAGCCCCATTTTGGATACCTTTGGAACATGGGAACATTCTTCTTGTGTGATGTGGTCCTTTTAAAAATTCTTATCAAAATGCAAAGAATTAAAATGAAAAATCAAGAGGCATTTTAAAAAAAGCAGCGCCACACAAAAGAACTCTCTGTGATGATGGAACTGTTAATATCTGCAATGTCCAATACGGCCGCCACTAATCACATTAGCTATTGAGCACTTGAACCATGCATGGGTAGTGTGACTGATGAAGTGAATTGTTATCTAATTTGAAGTCATTTAAATTTAAGTAGCCATATGTAGCTACTGGCTACCATACTGGACAGCGCAGTTCTGGATGTCCCCAGATTCAGAGAGGCCTGGAGCATGTAGGTGCTAATAACCGCTGGAGATCAGATTTTGTGGGATGTCTGCAAATTCGCTGTACTTTAACCACTTTCCGAGATTTTTCCAGTTACAAGTTGGGGTCAGCTCCAGACAGGAATTGCTCTTCCTTTTCCCTCCCCTGGTGTGATGGTGAGAAGATTTCACCTCTCTTTAGGTCTTCTACGGAAACTCAGACAGAACCTCCACAGTCCAGAACCTGCTGCGGCCCCCCATCATTTCCCGCTTCATCCGGCTGATCCCGCTCGGCTGGCACGTCCGCATCGCCATCCGAATGGAGCTGCTAGAGTGCGTCAGCAAGTGTGCCTGACACCTGAGCGGCTGGGCGCCTGCCGGGAGGGGGGTGGTAGTGGAGGGCACAGAGCTGCCCGCGGGGGGACCCCGACACATCACTGTGACAAACAGGGCTGTATTTTACAAGCTCTTTTCACTGCAGAGCTGGGTAGAGAATATTTCTTTCTTTCCATTAAGATATAGTTTCCAATTTCAATGAAAGAAAGAAAAATGAACATATTCCCCACTCAGGGCCAAAAAAAAATATAAATAAATAAGAACAAAGAAAATGTCCCTAAAAACAATTTTCCTACAAAAGCCTAAGTAGCAGGGGTAATTTGCTGCTCTGTTTTTTTGTTTTGTTTTGTTTTGTTCTGTTTTGTCACAGTGATACTGTGAAAGGTGCAGTCCCAGGGGAACACAAAGCAGCCCTGATAATTTGAAATTTCTTTTGCTTCACTATATTCAAAACAGGAACATAATGTTTCATGAAGCCTGGCTCTGAATACAAAGAGGGAGCCAAGCTTGTGGTTTCTCTTAGCTAAGTTTTCATTAAATCATGGCCATTTAGGACTGTAGAGCACTGGGTATACAGAGTGAATGGTTTTGGCGTTACTGGGTGCTGGAGATGAGTACGGTGGATGTGAGCCTGTGTCTCAGTCTCCTGAGAGCCGTACATGACCAAAGGCCCCAGGTAGGAGGGCCTGACCTGCTGAGTTTTTACCCCCATGTTCACAGGGATTGGGGGGTTCCAGAGCTCTCATTATATACAATTCCATTCTGCAGCCCACTCAGGCAAATTATCCCAGGCTATGGTCACTATTCAGGTGAATTCACAGGTCAGGCTACATGTGTAAGTAGCAGTTTCCCTGTATTTAGGAACCCCAAATGACCAGAACACACCAGAATTTCCCTTTATCTAGAGCTATTGTTTTGAACAAGCTTAGCACTTTGAAAACAGTTGGCCTGCCCTGGCCGTTTTGGCTCAGCGGTTGGAGCGTCGGCCTGTGGTAAAGAGAGACCCGGGTTCGGTTCCCGCTAAGGGCGCGTACCTCGGCTGCAGTTTGTCCCCGGCCCTGGTTGGTCGTGCGGGTGGCAGCCACTCGATGTGTCCCTTCACGTCGATGTTTCTCCATCTCTCTCCCTCCCGCTCTATCTGAACAAAAAATGGAAAAATGTCCTCGGGTGAGGATGAAAAAAAAAAGAAAACAGTTGGCCTGGGAGCTATCACTGGCTACACAGAGAAGGCCCGTTAGCTAAGCCCATTAGCTTTGTATGTAGTGGTTGGGACCTGTGTACTTAAGAGAGATGCGGCTACACCCCCAGTGAGCACACCTTCCAACTTCTGCTCCCTTGCCTTGAAAATACACAAACCTGCCTGTTACTGATGCTGCAACCTCCTTGGGAAGGAACGGGTCTGGACTGAGCCTGGCATGAGCCTGGCCTTCCCCTCCTGGAGCAGCTCATTAAGCAGGGAGCTTAGGAAACGACAGTCTAAGTCACCCTTGTCATTTATAGCTCAGCCTGTTTTAGGGTCCTTCTCTGGGGAAAGCTAATGACATGGCAGGTGGGCAGGAGAGGATATAAAAGTAGGAAATGGGAGGGTAGAATCAGAGGATGGGGGCCCTCCAACAAGACTGGGGGATCCAAGACTATCCTGGCCCTTATGCAGTGCAGCCTTTCCGAGCTACTGTTTTCAAATGCCAAGCTGAGTGACTAGACCCATACTAACACGATCCTGGACATCACATTCACCCTGGCAGCCTCCTAAAATCTCTAAATCTCTTCTCTGGTGTCATTGGGTTAAGAAGAGTTTCATATTTAACCCAGCCTCTACACTTGAACCTGGAAAAATGCTTTTTTGTGCTCCATCTTCTCTCAAATATAAACAAATCAATTCGGGGGGGGGGTCCTTCTCTGGTCTTAGAACACATGGACAAATGCATTTTGAACAGAACACCTGATTGGATACCCTAACTGGGAAAGTTGAATGAACTTTTATCATGACATGCATTGTCAGGGAATAAAGGTTCAGGTCCTCGACAACTGGCAGTCCAAACACAGGAGAGGAATCGAGTTAAAGGGAAAAAAGAATGAAATGGTGTGAGGTAGGAATAAAGGTTCTCCAAATAATTGTTCATGTAGGAAATTTTTGTTTGGTAACAGCTTTATTGAGATAAAGTTCACACACCATACAGATTTCACCCATTTAAAGTGTACAATTCAGTGACTTTTAGTATAGAGTTGAGCAGTCATTATCACAATTGATTTTTTAAAAATTTCATCACCCCAAAAAGAAACCCCGTATCCATTAGCTATCACCCCACCAACCCACTTGCCCACCCCAGCCTTAGGCAACCACTGATCTATTTCTGTTACTGTAGCCTATTCTGGACTTTTCTAATAAACGGAATCATATACAATATGTGGTCTTTTCTGTCTGGATTCTTTCGCTTGCCAGTGTTTTCAAGGTTTGTTCATGATGTAGCATGTATCGTTTTATGGCAGAATAGCACTCCACTGTATAGACAGACCACATTATATTATCCATTCATCCGTTGATGGGCATTTGGATTATTTCCATGCTTTTGGCTATAACAAATAATGCTGCTATGAAAAATTATGTACCAGTTTTTTTTTTGTTGTTTTTTTTTTGGTACGTGCCCCTAGCCGCTAGGGCCCAGCGGGAACTGAACCTGGGACTCTCTGGTCCACAGGCCAACACTCCAACGCTGAGCCAAACAGGCCAGGGCTGTACCAGTTTTTATGTAGACATGTTTTCATTTATCTTGGGTATATACACCTAGGAGGGGAATTGCTGAGTCATATGGTAACTCTATGTTTAAACTTTTGAGGAACTGTCAGATTTTCCAAAGTGGCTGTACCATTTTACACTCACACCAGCAATCTAGTAGGGTTCTAATTTCTCTACAGTTGTTATTATCTGTCTTTTTGATTAAAGCCATCTGGGGTATATAAAGTAGTATTTCACTGCAGTTTTGATTTGCATTTTCCCATGCATGACTAATGATGCGAAGCCTCTTTTCATGTGTTTATCGGCCCTTTGTATACTTCTTTGGAAAAATGTCTATTCAGATCCTTTGCTCACTTTAAATTCAGGCTTTTTATTGAGTTGTAAGGTTTCTTTATTTTAGATACAATTCCTTTATCTGACATATGATCCGCAAATATTTTCTATTGTTTATTTTATTTTTTTAAATTTTCTTGAAGGAGTTCTTTGAAATACACATTTAAAAATTTTGATGAAGTCCAATTTATTTTTCTCTTTTGTTGCTTGTGCTTTTGGTGTCATATTTGGGAAACCGTTGCTAAATTCACATCATAAAGATTTACTCCTATGTTTTCTTCTAAGAGTTTTATAGTATAGCATTTAGATCTTTGAGTCATTTTGAGTTAATTTTTATATATGGTATGAGGGTTCCAACTTCATTCTTTGCATGTGGGTATCCAGTTGTCCCAGCACCATTTGTTGAAAAACAAAAACAAAAAACTATCTTTTCCCACTGGTATACTTATTGAAAAAAAGCAGTTGACATAAAAATGAAGGTTTGTTTCTGGACTCTCAATTCTATTCCATTGATCTATATGTCTATCCTTATGCCAGCACCACACTGTTTTGATTATTGTAGCTTTGTAGTAAGTTTTGAAATTAGAACATGTGAGTCCTCCAACTTTGTTCTTCAATATTATTTTGACTATTCTGAGTCCCTTGAATTGCCATATAAATTTTAGGATCAATTTTTTTTTTTTTTTTGCAAAGAAGTCAGCTGAGATTTCACATTGGAAATTGCTCGACACTTCAGAATTTAATAAACAATGAGGTTCTGAAATCCGTAAAATGTTTATCTGTAGGTAATTTGTTTACAACAGCATATGAATTTTTTACTTCATTGAATTAATGCCAGAATGTAAAATAAATAAAACCTAACGGAATTTTGCTATTAAACACATGAACTATGTTTGCAGTATTACTTTTGTGGGGGAAACTTGCAATTAAAAAAAAATATATATATATAATATATATATATATTATATATATATATATTATAGCAAAAACTCATTCCCTTACCTTATGTTAACATGTTTACTTTTATTTTTAGAAATGCTTGAGTGTGGGGTACACTTGTTGGAGATTTTTTTTTTAAATTGTGGTAAAATATAACATATTGCAGGAGATTTTAAAACAGCTACATTAAATGCTATGAACAAAAAAAGTAGCAGTAAATGTTGCCAAGATAAAGAAAAGTCTGAGCTGATTTGGATATTCGGTGTGGGAGGAGGTTACTTGGACAAAGCAAAGGTATTTCAAAATAAAGATGCCACTATGAATCCAGTATCAGAACCTAGAAGACTGTACATACACCTAAGTGAGGCTTTGAACAGACACTGCCAGAAGCCCATCTTTTTGTCTACCTGCTACTGCTGAGGCCTGCTGACAAATGTCCAGCTGTAAGGGCTGTTGCTTCCCTGTGATCCAAGAGTAGCTCCAAGCTACAAGTGACAAATCACAGTGTTTCTTAACCTGGACAATTCTACAGAGCTGATGTGAAGATCAAATAGGATAAATGTATCTAAAGGGCTTAATGAGGTCTCCATAGCTGGCAGTCAAGATTCAGTGACAATCCTTTTCAACTTCATAGGGCTGCCAACTGGGGCACAAATACTAGCAATACTGTTGTAATAGCTAATATTTATTGAGAACCTATCAAATGCTTTGCAGGTTATCATCTCATCAAATCCCCCAAAACAGCCTTATGAGGTAGGTACCATTATTAATATTCCCAGTTAAAGATACGGTCACTGAGGCATAGAAAAGTTAGGTAACTTGCCTAAAGCCAAACAACATATAGGATTCCACTCAGGCAAGCTAACTCCAGATCCTGTGCTTTTAACCACTTCACCAGTCTCTGGACCTCTAGTGACTTGTTTCAATGAAATGCTCTGGTCTCAAATCAAATCAATTACCACCTGCTGGGAGATGGGAGGAAAGGTGGCACACTAATCCCACATGTCATGAACCCCATGTCCATTTCTATATATGGAGACACAGCAACTGCACTGTTTGTTAGTATTGAAGAGCAGGCTTTACAGTGAACATACTAGGCTCCAAATCCAAGCTGGCTGACCTTGGGCAAGTTAATGTAAAGTCCACAGACCTCAGTTTTGTCATCTACAAAATGGGGATACAGCTTGTTTCATTGTGCTGTTCTGAAAAGCAAATGTAGTAATAAAAGTAAAACACTTTGTATTGTGCTCAGCCATAGTAAGTGCTATGAATATAAAAAGAATTACAAGCCCCAGATACTTTTTACGTCTTGATAAAAAGTATAATTGAAATCACAGGTTTCCATGATTTAAGGAGAAACCTGGAGCAAAGAAGTTGGTGATACAGTGCTTATAAGAATGCCAAGCACTGGATTTTAGCTGCTGTCCTTTGTTTAGAAAGATAAAGTTGGAGAGTATTTAGATATGTTATCTCAAAATTTAAGTTCTTTCGTCCTGACTGAGCATTTAGTCAGTAGGTCCTATCCTTAAAGACAAAAGTGAAGGCCTAGAACAGGTTAGTAAATCTGGCACCTGACCTGTTTTTGTAAATAATTTTACTGGAACACAGACACACTCATCATTTTCAAATGCTGCCTCTGCACCCAATGGTAGAGTTGAGTAGATGAAACTCTATGGCTCATAGAGCCTCAAATATTTACTATTTGGCTCTATACAGAAAAAGTTTGCCAGCCCACTGCTCTAAAACACAAAGAAATCCTTATTTAGCTGTCCACCTTGGCTTTCTCCACAGCACTGAGCAGGAGGCTAGCATCTCTTCCCATCCTCCTGGACCCACCAAGTGATCGACTAGGAACATGCAAAGGAGACAACACTCAAGTGTAAAAGAAACCAGTTTCCAAAATGCCAGAAGGGGAAAAAAGCTTTATAAATACAAAAAAAATATCAACATCATTAAATAACAGGATTTGCCCTGCTTTACATTAATTTCAGTCCCTTATACTGATTCCAACTTCAACGGCCCATTATCCCTTATTTGAATTCCAACAAGTTCTTTACAAAGAAGGAACTAACCGAAGAGCTGCTTGCTATTCAAACTTGAGGGACAACAGTGCTCAAGACTGGGATGGCCTGGCAATCACATCAGTCAGTGCAAAATCTGCATTTTATTAAAGACATTTGGGAAGGTCCATTCAAAAATACATTGTGCTCAGTAAAAATTAACCATTTCATGCTCATAATTAAGGTTACCACGGAATAGATATTTGTATAATATTTACAGCAACAATAGAAATTTTACAGAAGTTTAGAATGGAATACATGCCAGAAAAAACTTGATAAGATGTACGAACACATGATACAAAGAGTTATATAAACACTTTACAAATGGTTCATAATTAGCTTGTGAGGAATTAAATATTCAACACTTTAAATTCAGTTTGGATTCAAAAATTAAAAAGGTTAACACCACAGCACACCCTTGCCACAGTAAAAAGTATGGAATTACACTTTGCATTATGGATTTATAAAGTCTGTGCAATTAAGAATTTCCACTGATTCTTCAACTACTACAAATTTGGATGTTATATCACTCTGGCTTATCCCTATTTTTGTTTTCATGCACGAGCAGGGTTCTCAAAATCGCCCTGCCCTGTGTCTTCCCAGATACCACCTTCAAACTTCCTAGAGATTGAAGAAGCTCGGAATAGTCTTCTAAGTATATACAGAATAACTACCTGAATTCAAAATGGCACAAAAGCAATTCTTGGAGATAGAAATTAGGGGCCACTATTTTGTTTGGTTTAATTGTTTCTGTTAATTAATCCAAGTTTACAGTGAGAACTGACTTCTTGCAATCACAGCATTACCCCTCCAGCCTGACTCCATCAGTGACCAAAGAGGAAACAAGGAGAGGGAAATAGACTGAAAGGACTATATATAACCAATCGTATATCTCTAGTGAAAATGGATTTTGTATAAATTTTGCTTTCCACTGTGGAAAACCTAAGCCATCATAGAGAACTTCAAAGTTCTCCAGAAGAAAAAGCATCTTTTATTTCGTGAACCTCTGAATGCTTTGTAACTGGAGCTTTTGACAACTCTGGCGATAAACACTTTAATCCCCCAACAGGGACAAAAGTCAAGGCATCTACCTTTTCCATTCCTGGGTTTCATCTGATTAACCCTGAAGCAAAACACTAGGACAAGCTTGTCTATGCCTGAAATGAATCACATCAGGCTTTTGGGCAAGTACAATCCCAAACCAAAGGAAGTCCTGAGGAATTCTTAGCAGTCTGTCAAAATGGAGGGGATGGAGGAACAGATAAGGCCTCTTTCTCCCTGATACTCTGCGCTGGAAGAGTAACAAACAAGGCAACTTCTATTCTGCATACAACATGGAGACCGTTTTTTGTTTTTCTTTTCAGATTCCAATGGAGGATCAAAATATGACCCAAGGATCAAATGGGGTTCAGAGAGCTTAACCTTGTAGGTAATGAAGGGCCTTAGAAGTGAAACCGGTTTCACTGACGCCGCTCTCTGGCCCTAGAAATCCAACGTGCAACTATTACAATTTTTTTTTTCTGGCAAAACAAAAAGACAAATCTCCCTCAAATTTGGGAGTAAACAGTTAATGAATGAAAATACAAGGCAGGTTGTGATCATACTTAAGAGCCTATAGGAAATACACAGAAAGGTGGGTCAGTGCCCAGAGTGAAAAAAGGTAGAGTCAGGACCAGGCCCAACGCTGATGAATTAACAAAGCACGATGGGAAATGGATATTCACGTAGTAACTGACTTGGCACAGGAGTCTATGATCTTTTATAGTACATTCAATTAAAAAAGAAGAAATAGAATAGAATAGGGCAGCAGGCCCAAAGTTTCCTAGCCACCTTACTTTCACCACATTGTGTGTATACAGACGAGGGACTCGTCCTGTCACAGCTTCATTTTCTTGTATTTACTCATGGTTTCTAAGACAGAACTTTTTACCCAGCTGAATCAGACTTTGAGATATTCTATACCTCAGCTGGTCAAGACATAAAAGGAAGAAATCAGAACCACTTACAACTTTGTGTTTTGTTAAGTTGGCCCTTTAAGTCTCTGAGAGAATCTTCTTGTGAGATTCTGGACCTGGGGATTAGCGACAGGACACTTAGAACATTTGTACTGTCTTTTCTGCTGCCCCTTTTAAAGGCAACATTTGTTGCCAGCTGGTGTGGTTCAGTGGATTGAGCATTGGCCCACGGACTGAGCGGTCTGGGTTTGATTCCCGGTCAGGGCACATGCCTGGGTTGTGGGCTCGGTCCCCAGCAGGGGGCGTACAGGAGGCAGCTGATCGATGTTTCTCTCTCACATCGATCTTTCTCTCTCCCTCCCTCTCTCTCTAAAAATATCAATAAAAACATATTTTTTTAAAAAGAAACCATTTGATTTTAACTGTAAATAAGTTTTCTCTGCCTACACACTTTATTAGTGATGAACTGAAGGAAGTAAGGAAGTAATTCAGTATTTTCTGACTTGGTTCAGTGTATCATACCACATTCCCAGTTCATAAAAGTATGAGTCTGTGGATCTTAGTGCTCACATGGAGCTCAATATCCCACTATAATGCAGGAAGTAACGAACTTCTAGATATAAAAGCAGTGCTCTCCAGAAAAAATGTTCTGATCAGGAGAGAATATGCAGATTTCTGAGTCCCAGCTGAGCTCCAGGAATAAGTTGCAATGAGCGATTGCCCTTGCTGAAAGTTGGGTCACCACCAGGACCTAGGTGAATAGAAATAAACAGCGCCTTCTACACACTTGAAAAGTAATCCTCTCGCTTTTAAAAAAAGCTGTACACTTATGAGTCATTCTCAATACATAGCTAGAAGAATAAATGGCTTTTTTCCTTATTTACTCTAAAAACTAGTTTAAGAAGTGTGAGGATACTATGACGTTAACTAAGAGGAGCTGGGAAGGAAAAATGGGATAGCATTTCCTAGAGAAGTCCACTAATTTTCAGATTAGGAACATGCTAAACTGGCTAACTCTACAACCACAACATACTTTATAATACATGACATGACTAGAAACCAGCGTAGCTCTGAGCTTAGAATGAAAAGTACAACTGCATATGGTGAGTCTTAAAGCAGGTTTGAAAACAGATTTGACCAAAGCGTACAGCACAAATACTCCTATAACAGCCACATCACAACCACCAGGTTTTGCTCCTAATCGGTCTGTCATATGCCAATATTTGTTAAGAGCTCTTAAATGGCCTAAATGAAAAACAAAGACATTTTCTTTTGGGAGACACAGCTAAAAGCCATGGATGTCTTTAAGCACTTGGTGAAAATCATGCCAATATGCCAGGCTGTTGCTCACTTCTAATATAAGCATCATGGGTCTATGAAAGATTTTCTAAGGAAGCTGACCTAGAATTTAAGTTCTCAAACACCAATAAAGTAACTCTGGTCTCCTCCCAAAGGATGCACCTTTTAGCAGGCCCAAGATAATGGAAATGAACAATAGGATTCCACGGGTTCAAAAACAGTGGTAGAAGATTCTTTAAAAGACTGGGATGCTGAAGAATTCATACCTACAGTTTCCTAGCCTGGAGAGACAAGGACAGGGCTGAGCTCTACCGACTGGTGGAACATGGTAAGAGCAGGGTTCTCAACCTTAGCACTGCTGACATTTGGGGCTGGATCATTTTTTGTTTCTGGGAGTGTCCTGTTAATGTAGGCTGTGTAGCAGCATTCCTGGCCTCTACTAACAACATGACAGTAGCACCCAGTTGTAACAAGTAAATATGTCTCCTGACATAGCCAAATACTGCCGGGAGGCAAAGTTGGCCCTGGTTGAGAACGCTTGCTGTAGAGACAGCTCTCTTGAGCCCCTTAGTAAGGACTACTTTTGGTCTGGGGCTCTGGAGAGAGGCTAAACCTCAGACCGGGACCAAATAAGGTTCAGCGAAAGTTGATTTAGAACTTCTGAGAAGAAAAAGGAGGATGGTGGTAAAGCAAAACTAGAAAAACAGCAAAGCAGAGTTTCTTTTCAAAAGGAGATCAGTGATACTTCCATAAAACAAAGTAATTGATAAGCCTTCATTCAACCATTTTATTCTTTAGGAAGTTAGGGCAGATAACAGAACACAGATGTCATAAAAATTTCTCTTCCTAAAGAATCAAGTCCTCATCATGGATGGCAAATCTCTGTGAGGTCGAGAATTCACTGACAGAGGAAAATAAGTTAAAAGCTAAGAGAGGGCCCATTAGATTTGAGAGGAAACTTGACCATTTCCCTGTGTGAGTAGGAAAAGCATTATACATGCTAGAAATGCAGATTGTAATTCACTTTACAGCTCACTGAGGTCAATGAAAAGTCAGAATGGATAAAAGCTGAGAAGAGGATAAAAGAGCTACCTCAAAAACACGAGTTGAAAACACTGTAGATATTTTCTGGCTCAAATCTGGGAATGTAAGAAAAGTATGTATTAACTCTTCATCGGTTAGGTTTACTTTGCTCTAGGTAGAAGGCAATTATTCTAGCCCTTCTTTGAAGAACCATCAGGAATAGAAATGATCTGCAAACATCTGAGATCCCAGTGTTAGCAAGGATGAAAACATGGGAAACCAGCCGCTAGGTGACGACGAGCCTCAAATGCCACATCATGGCAATGTGACTGCGCAGTTCCTAAGCGCACAGCACAGTGAGAAGTCTTTCCAGAGGAAAAAAATGTAGTTTCTGGTTTGCAAGGGGGAACACAAGGTACAGATCTAGTATGAAAAAGAAGAGTTACACACCCTTTTAGAGTCATTAGCATCCAGGCAAAAACTGCTAAGGGTCCACATCACTTATATAACTGAGCAGCTGCCTGGGAAAAGCCAGAATTCAGAGCTACTCAAACAGTACTGAACTGGTGAAAGAAACAAGATATAAAAAGAATCAAAGAGCATGCAAACTATTGGTGTGAATCAAATTGTTTCAATGATAGTACCCAGTTGTTTCATTTTAGTGCCTATTACACTTAGTAAATTAAATAAAAAGCACCTTAAAATGACCTCTATATATAATCAATGCACATCATTATAGTAGTTATATAAAAATGCAATATGCACACAATTTAAGCTTCAAAGAAACTAAGACTTTTTCTTTATAATCTTCATAATCATCAGAACTATGATTCTCAAAATCGTGGGGGAGGGGAACAGTAACAGCACATATCAGTTACAGCTAACTCGATTCAGGGACTGACTCTCTCAGAATCCTGGGACAAGTAATAAATACTGAGACATTACCTCTTTGAGGGGTGGGAGGGGACCTTTAAAACTATTATTGCTAGGAGCCTACTTCCAAAAATCAAATGTTCTTGATGGATGATAGTGTTGAGTGATTTCTGTCCAGGATGGCCCAGAGACATGGGGCTATAACCTTAGGTGGCCTACGGCCTTTATGACACTTGGCAGGAACTTGGGAGTTGAAGGAGATCTAGTGAGAGAAAGAGAAGTCCTGGTCTGATCGTGTGTGTGTGTGTGTGTGTGTGTGTGTGCACGCGCGTGCATAATCTTGTTATGTGTGGATGGTCCCAGGAAGAAAAAGTGGGTATAGGAATTTTCTCTACATCTAGAATTGCTTCAGGAGTCTTTTAAATGTACCGGAAAGAGCACAACAAAAGAAGTATTTAGAAATAGAGATGCCATACATGTATCTACCCACTCTCCTCCCCACCAAGAGTCTCTGGTACAGTGCACAGGATTCAGGAGCATAGAGCTGGTATGCCAGGTCTGCAGACAGGGGCCTCTTACAACCTTGCAACTAGGAATGTTTACTGGCAAATCTTTGGTCAATGCTCTATACTAATTCTAAGTAGAAGAGCACATTCTTTCTACAAAGACCCATGAGTAAGCCTGGATCTGTTCTCCCTCAGGTGCAAGGAACGTCCCTGGACATGAAGAGGAGCCAATTGTGTGAGGATGGAGACAAGGCCTGCCAGAGCTCTCACTAGCCTAGTCCACTTTCTTCCACCATGGGTTTGCAAGGAGATGCTGCATCCTGTCTGCTACCAAGGAGCATATCTAGAGGCTACTGCTGGGGCCTAAAAGTTGAGCAAGGTTCCTACTGTTACAGTTACATATAGCCACAATTCAACTCGTTTGATTAGAAGTATAATACTCACTTCATATTACAAATGTATAAAAATATGGCAGAGTGTCATAACGATACTTTCTTTAAATGATTATATTTATAAAACAGACACATATGTTTATCATATATATATATTTATATATAGAATAAAATACTCCTGATGCAATATATAAATGTTACTGTTTAGTTTTTATAGAAACTACCGTAGCTGTCCCACTGCTTCACAATGTTCCAAACAGCTCAAAATAACTTTACATTTAACATAAAAGATATGATTATAACAGTACAATATTAATTAATTATAAATAAATGTTACAAATCCTATCAAATATGGAAGTTTAGAAAACAATTTAAGACATACAGTTAATTCATCTGCTAACCCTTCAAAGGGATATTCTTGGATTACAATAAACCCCACATTTAGTCTAGGCAGAAAAAAAATCTGGGGTAAGGGCATCGGTCAACACGGATTTTTATTTCCCTTGCAGGGCCAGAACATGTCCTGGCTTTCCCAAGTTCAAGAGGGATTGCACTATAGCTGGAATGTAAGGGGGAGAAACTGGCAAGAATGTCTTCTTCCTCAATGGCACACTCTATCCATTCTCACGCAAGACCCGTGGAGACTGGCGATCCCTAAGGAACTCCTGTGGCTCTAAGATCCCTGACTAGCATTTGTGGCCGTGAGGAGCCACATGGCTCCACACATACAATATTGCACACACCTTCATAAAGCTGAAAATACTGGCTTACCACCCTGGCCCAGCCCATTCCCCAGCCCACCCTCCAACCCCCTCCCCTACCCCTCCCAACTGGCTTGTCCCCTCCCCCACCCCCCGCCCCAAGCACACATTACAAGGCTGTCTCCTTCAAATCATTCAGATTTGGCATTCGAGACCGATTTGTTCTGTTATAAGGGTGCCCATTTGGCCCACTCTTGGCTCCCAGCTGTTCAGAGTAGGAAGGCCCTTCTGTGGCACTCCGGGTCACAGAGGACACGTGCCAACCAGAGTCCATCTGACCTGGCAGCTGAAGGGCTGGTCTGCCCTTCGGTGTGGGCTCCTGCCGGATGTTACTGCTCCCACCCGAGGCCTGGTTCAGGGAGTGAATCCGAATTTCTGAGAAGGCATTTTTGACTTGTTGAGCTGTTAACGGCTGGAAGCGGGGGTCCATGGTAGCCGGGTGATTGGAAGCTGAAGAGAGATGCAACAGCTTGCGCAGTGATTTTAACGGCTGGCTCTGGAAGACAAGAGGAGAGTGTGTGTAGGGTAGACTGGAAAGCTGGAAGGAGAGGAGCAGATCTGACATGACTGCATGAAGCCAGGGAAGGTGGGCCCTGGGGGGAGAGGAGGGCCTAGCACAGCCTTATCTGTTCTTTTGTTGTTTTCCAGACAAGATTGAATGTATTTTTCCTTAATAAAGAAGCTTAGAAATCCAGAGAATAAATCTAGAGCTGGTGTGGTGGATGATCAAAGGCTTAGGCCCCTTCTATCTGCTGCATCCCACCTTTAGAGGGGGAGGGAGATCTATCTCATGCTTAAACCAGCAGGAAGAAGCAAAAGAAGGGATATGACTCTTCCTTTTGAGAAGATTTCCCAACAGTGCTACAGAAAGCAGCCACTTTTAGTTCAGTGGCCAGGGCTCAGCCATATGACCATCTAGCTGCAAGAGAAACTGAAACAATATAATGTTTCAATTTATATATCCCCATCTGTTCTTTTTTTGTTTCTTTTTTTAAAGCTGTTTATTATTTTTTAAAATTTTTAATGTTTTTCAATTGCAGTTTACATTCAATCTTATTTTGTACTGGCTTCAGGTGTCCAGCACAGGGGTTAGACAATCATATACTTCACAAAGTATCCCCTGCTCTGTTCTTATCTCCCCCATTTTCCCTTGACATTGCAAAATCCAAATGTTTCATTTCTGCCCTTTTATTTTTGGGTTTTTAATTTTTTTTTATTTTTTATTTATTTTTTTTAAGGGGGAGGATAAGATTGGAGCATCAAAAATGCAAAGCACAGAGAAACAAGCAAAAGTCCTACAGAATCTAAAACAATTCACTCACAGGAGGCCTTGGATTCCTAACATGGGCTCCTGGCTGCCCTGTCTGCTGTGTGGCTGGGGGACTGCGCTTTGAGGCAGAAGGGAGGGTCCTGGAAGCCATCTGCCCTGTGGGCTCCTCACTAGTGACAGGCAGCTCACCATCAGAAGAGGCAAGTGAAAGCACCCACCGTGAAATTCAAAGCCCTCCCAGGGTTACCTCTGGCTGCCAATCTTCAAGGAACACGCTTTTAAGGGCTCAGCAAAGTTTTAACATAATGTCGATGATCTCCAGAAACACTACAAGATTCGAAGGAACAGAGCATTGGAATCCAAGGGAAACTGCTCGAGAACTGACTCAAGTAGAAATTGCTCTTAGAGAAGCATCCTCCATGGCATTCCAAAGTCTGTCCAAGAAAGCTTTGTGGTCCCCACAGGATGTGGCACAGTATACTGCACACTATAAGTGCTCAAAAGTGTATTCTCTTCAAAAATGGAATTAGTATGATAACACAATGACATCCCTGGTGATTTTTATAGCCCTGACCATGTGTAACTATTGAGCAACTATGGTTGACCCTTGAACAATATGAGTTTGAACTGCATGGGTCCACTTATACCTGGATTTTTTTCAACAAATACTTGTACTATTTTCCATTTGTGGTTGAGTGTCTGACCATATGCATTGCTTTAGGCCATTTAAAAAAATATTTTCCTTTATTGATATTAGAGAGAGAGGAAGGGAAAGGGAGAGAGAGACGGAAACACAGATGAGAGAGAATATCTATGGGCTGCCTCCTGCATAACCCCACTGGGGATCAGGCCCACAACCTGGGCATGTGCCCTGACCGGGAATCAAACTCGTGACCTCTTGGTGCATGGGTCGATGCTCAACCACGAAGCCATACCAGCAGCTCTAAGTAACAGCTTACAATGAGAGGGTCAACAGCAAACCTATAAAAATATAGACCCTCTTCCTCCAAATCACAAATAACTCTACAGCCTCAACAGCTCGTCAGAGTTGTCAGAAATTATAGTACAGAGAAACAATGGATTTCTAAAACACTGAATATGATAAAAAAACAAGGTAGATTATGTTGCTATGCTCATTACAGGATAATGAAGATACAATTATTTTAACATTTCCAATCAAAATAATTGTTTAAAAAAGACAAACCTCAGTACCTGAAAAATTTACGGATTCGGTTTCTACTTATTATTCCCCCATTATGACAGAGAAATGTGATTAGACGTACCGTCTAATATGTACTTCCTAATGCAATTGTTTGCCTCTTTTCTATCAAAAACAGTATGGATTTAAAAAGTTTAAATAATCTTTCAAGAAAGCTTATCATATCTGTCTTTCAAGGCCCAATTTATATACTACCACCTTTAATGAAACCTTAAATCTTCCCACTACCTCTTTTCACTTTCCCCTACATTTTATGGCATGCCTCACTTTTTACCACCAATTATGGTTATTTATGGATTTTCTGTCTCTCTTAGGCTACAGAGTATTTGTAGGCTGGGCTGTATCTCATTCATCTCTTTAGCCCACCCCCACCCATATCCCCAGCTAGGTGAAGTCTAATGGAAGCTCACTTTTTTCCCTAGTAGGACAAGGGTCATCAACGCAAGATCCATCTGGACCCCAAGATACATCTGGCTATTAGTGAGGGTATATTCTAGGGAGACTTTCCAGAATATTGTTGTAACACTGAGAGGCTAAATTTCTCAACCCTGCCCCTCTCCCTAGGAGAGACGATCACTGTAGTCTAAGAGTCTAGGAGTGATGTCTGTGCCACTCACTTGGGTCTGTAGATCGGAGATCTTCTCAGGACGCCATTCCTTTGGTCTGCCGCTTGGGGTGTTAGCAGAGTGAATGGCTTTCTGCAATGTCAGAAGATCGGGGCCTTCAGAATTGGGCACCTAGAGCAGGATATAGACAAGGATTCAATCAGCACACCAATAAGCCTAATTAAGATATGCAACCACACCCCAAAAGAGAACAAAAGCAAGTCAACCAAACCTAAACTCAACCTCCCAAGGACCCCCCCAACAAAAAAAAACAATAAAAAAAAGAAAACAATAAAAAAGAAACCCAAACTCTCCCAATGTTCACAATGCAAGTGATGCTAGTTAAATTCTGCTGCCCTCTTAATTTTCCCTGCATTAGGAAAAATTGACAGATGTCATGCAGCTTTGTTAAAATCTCAACCCTTAAAGCATTCCCATGCTGTTAGTTTTAGTCGCTGTAAGAGAGAGCAGTTAAATTGGGCTGTACCAGGAATTGCTGTCGTATCCTCATTCCACATTGCAGTTAGGTTATGAACCAGTTCAATAAAACAAAAATTTGTTCCTGCTGGGAAAATGATCCAGACACTGTGTTTGGTGGTACTCAAAGAAGTCTAGCAGGTTTTCAAGGGTAGCAAAGTAGAAAAGTATGGTTTGAATCATAATCACAAGACACTGCCCAGTAAAGAATCTGGGTCTAGCATTATGAATGATGAAAATGCTGGAAATTTGTGCCACAAATTCCACACGAATGCAACTGATCCATTCACCGATTTTGGTGAACACAGTAGAGTAACGCCAAATGTCAAGCAAAAGCCCTGGCTTTAAACCAAGTGACCAGCAAAAGCTAGAGCCAGGCAAGAAAAAAGCAAATCACCAACTAACGGAAGCTGTTTTTTCATGGAGCCGGCTGGCTCACTCAATTTGGTCAATTCAACTTGGTTTCAAATAAACAAACTGCCAACCAAGTGTTGTTAACAAACTTTGTGAGCCAAACAAAAAGACATTTGTAAATTATAAATGTTAATCAAATTCTTTACAGGAAATAAGGAATTTTATGAATGCTGTCTGCTGACAATTGGCTAATCAGACAACCCAAACCAGCCTTTCACTAGTTTGTTTGCTCAACAGCCTTTTATGCTTCAACCTCCTTAACTGCTTCAGAAAATCCAGAACAGCAAAGAATTTATGTCTCAGTGAATTTATGGAACTGGCTCAGGTACTTAACTAGCACAAAGAGAATATGACCCCATGAAAATAAAAGACATGCTGTTGTCATCAGTAAAACAAGTTTACTGGACTTTTCAGGGCTACCATACGTAAAAATGGGTACCATGGGTGGAGTGACTACAGGAAGCTTTTTCAAAGAAGAACTATGCTTTAAATGATTCTTTGAATTAAAAAGAGGAAAGAGGGATTTCTTGATGCTTGGATTCTCCCCGTTGGTGGAATCTGTCTGCAATATAAGATACAAATAAACTAATTGCCAAAGAAAAGAAAAAAAAAGTGTTCTTGCTGAAACATCTAGCCCTTGGAAGCCCTCAAATTGTTAAATATTAACAGTCACTGAAAGAATGTGCTGTGTGTGCATCTGGAGGGGCACTGTGTCACTTCTCACCTGGAGACGAAGATGCCAACAATGTAACTTAAGACAGGCAAAAAACTTCTACATATATAGAGAATATGTGGTCATGATCAACACCTATCAAAGGAATGCCTAGAGACCTACACACATCATTCACATTAAGCTTACAAAACACTTAAGGATTTCTTTATTATCAGAAATACAATTATAATAAAGAATTGTGTTTAAAGAGCTACCGATGAACTTCAATCTCTTACTAGTTGCTAGAGAAGACTTCCGCAACTAAAAAAATCTACCACGCAATCTGCCTGTTAGGAAAAATAAATAAAAATAAAGATACTGCAGACCCTTTTGAACATGGTCAACTCTTGACCCAGAACACATCACTTGGAAGAGGAAGATAGCTGTTGCAGGGTTCTACTGTCAAGGAAGAAGACTGGTTCTAGGGTGTTAGAAATATTCACCCCATGGGAAATATCTGGCACAATTCAGAATATGAAATTTCAAAGTGAAGAAACAGAAAATTCAGTCTTTAAATTGAAGCACGATTACCAGTTGAGGTGCATACTAACTCGGGTACAACTACCAAGTTGGCAGTCACCATATGCTCTGAGGGCTTATGTAACTCTCTGGATTTGGAACTGAAGCCAGATTTCCCAAGGCGGCTTCCAGATTTGATTGAGTCAAAGCAGGCACCCTTACAATACAAAATTATTTTTTGACACCACTTGTCTCTGTTGTGGACATCTCAATTCTCAGAGAAGTAGAATGCGTGTAAAGGTATTCCGATCATCTTTTATAGATGTGTGTATGAGAACATTTGAGTAAAACAGCCCATGAAGTTCCCTGCTCCCATGATGGGGTCCCAGGGAAGAGTTAAACTTGCATCACTAAGGAGGCCACAAGAGAGCCAGGAACAAGTGGTCCGAGGCTCTCCACCGAGTGGGCTGGTGGCAGGGACTGAACCTTGGCCTGCTAGTCAGGAGAACCCACCTCTAGTTCTCTCAACTGATAGTGCGACTTCGGGAAGGTCACAACTTGCCTGGGTTGCTCCTATATCAGCGAAATAAAAGGGTTAAACTAGACTTAGTACCCATCGAGGCTTTAAAATGTGCTGCTTCTCTATGTGCTCTGGGCATTACATTTCCCTTTTTGAACCTTATGCAATGCTACAAAGCTTTAAACCTTTCAAAGCTTGGTTACCTAGTTTCCTTTTGCTGAGTTCTAGAAAGTGAAAAAAGCTAACTTTAATTCTATTTCTGCTCATGCGAAGGGGGCAGAGTTAATGAAATGCCAGACTTAGGAGCCTGAGGTCTGGAAAGATATATTAAGTGCTCTTTGGAAATCTTACTCTACATCCCCTAAGTCCTTAAAAACATTTTTTTAACTAAAAAAATCCAGAGGTACAAAAAACTTTTGGTTTGAAGGCTTAAGGCATTGTGGCCTGTGCAGAAATATTTTACAGTTACTTTACATACCAAAAATAAAATGTATGAAAACCTTAAAAAAGGATGTTCAAGTGGAGAGGATATTAGAGAATAATAATTTCCTATTTACCCTAACCTACACTATTTCAACATCTAAAATTTGATCCTAAATAATAAAGTCAGTCAACATGTATATACTCGACACAGGCCACAGTGAACCAGTGGCTTTAAGTTTAATGTTGGTCTAAGACAGATATCAAAAGCCAAATCTATACACAAATTCCTTGTCTGTCAATACACAGACATTAGGATTATTAATATAGTTCTAGAACATCTATGAATCTATACACTTCAATTCCTTGGTTTCTGCCACTTTCTTCCACTTAACCACCCCATAAGTGGCTATGGACCTGAGGTTCAGAACAAAAAACATCAAAATAGAAATAAGAGTGGTTAAGAGGAGGCAGTCTAAGTTCAATGTTCATGATAGACAAATGTTCTACAGACAATGATGAAAGTATTACTTTATTAGCACTTTAAATATTTTGAGCTTCTCTAATTTAAATCAGGTCTGTTTTATTCATCTAGTCTAAATAACAAATGTAGTAATATTTAATTGAGTGCCATTTTGACTTGAAATTCTGCTTTAAGTGAGTTTCAGTTAGAGATATAAGCAGTTTTTAAAAAATAAACACTTCAGGAATATCATGCTGCCATTAAAATGAAGATAATAAGATTTGTGTAGTAACATACATGTTGTGTGTATTGACAGACAGAAATTACTGTTAAAATCCAGATACAAAATTATACTAGAATGATTACTATTATTTAAAACAAAATAAAAAGCCACCTTTTCCCATAGACATATGCATAGGCTAAAAAGCTAAGAGGAACTAATACTAGTTGTTATAGGGTGGTAGATTAGAAATTATAATTTTTTCTCAATTTTTCTGTAATTAACTCATATTTTATAATGAAATATATAAATTCAACAAACAAGCAAGTAATAGAATAATCTAGAAGGGTAATTGAGAAGGATTATGAATATAGTTCTAGAACATCTATGAAAGAAAAATCCTTACTTTGGCTATCATTCTTTGCTACTATCATCTATCTCACCTTTACTAACTACTGAGTCATAACCCTAGAATCCTTTTCCTTTTTAAATAAGATTCAATCACATCTGAAGTAAAACTAGAAACAAAATCATTTAAAATGACCGACTCAACACTGTCTAGTCTGGAAGATGGCATAAAGTAAAGGGAGAAGCAGGCTTCCCGTGGGTAAAGAAGTGCCTGCTGGCCTGGAGGCCTGGCTTCCCCACGTTTTCTCATGTCACTAACCAGCAGAATCCTTGCTTGGGTGGTTCAGTGATGTGATGTGCACAGTTCCATGGAGGCAGCCCTGGGTTCAGACAGAGGGCTCCCAGGAGCTAAGACTCGCTCCATTGCACAGTTCAATCACAGGATAAGCATATCTTCCTACTAAAGCAAGCCCTGAAATGTCAAATACTATCTCCTCTCTTTGACTCTACAGCCCAGAAGTACACTTGTCAACATAGGAATTGGATAATCAGCCAGGGGAGAAGACTGAGTGATAGTTAGTTATGACTTTTAAGATTTAAGCATAAATCAAAACCATTTACTGAGTGTTCGCATATCTTTAACCCCTAGAGAGAAATAAATCCTGTAGCTTCATAGTTTTTACATGAATACAAATCCAAACAGATAAGACATTTATTGAGAGAGGCTTAAAGTGTTCTCTCTCATCCAAATTAAATTTCTTCTATTCCTGGAGATTCTGTTGAATCTAAAAAAGGCTCTGTGACAGGAGGATAGTTGTATAGAGTTTGAGAAAGAAACCTACACAGTGTTCGCATGTCAGGTCTCAATAAGAAAATCATTCACTTTGATTGCCACATATAAAATGCAAACTACCCACGGAGTAATGTAGACTCATTTGCCACTGTATATAGAAATTAGCCATCTACTTACTGTTTGAGATTTCTTCTTTTTCTTTTTCATTGACCTGAAAAAACCTTGTTTTTCTTTTTCCTTGAGTTGTTCAGAATGACTAATGTTTTCAGGATTTTTCCTAAATGAGAAGACATTTTTATCATATTGATTTCTCAATCATTCTCCTACCATTACATGACAAATATAATTAAGATGAAAACTGCATGTCACCAGGTTCAAATAGCCATGAAGATCAAACACACAGGTAAAGAGCATCTAAAAAGCACAGGAGGAACTGAATCTAATCAACCATGGTTAATGACTAGCCTTTGGCACAGACTCATTCGAACTAGCAATTTGAGCATTATTATAAATGATCTGTAACTCTGCTGCAGGACCATTTTCAGGCTGTTGAAAACCTCAGAATTAGGAGTCTGAAAAGCGCATGGTCTAAAGGACGCCTTTTTTGCAACCCTCCAACGGAAAGAGCAAAAACATTTTCATTATCTTCATTTTTCTATTTACCTTCTTAAACCCAGCTCAACAAGTTCATTATTAGTGGCTTGCCAAGGTACTGAACATAAGAAAAAAAAAATCAATGCTGCTACAGAAACATTATAAATAAAAGTAAAAGTTGCCTGAAGCTGGAAAATCCCTTTATAAAAATATTGTATCTACTTAATACTAAATAAAAATAGGTAAGTTAAGAAAAAAGTGTGGACAGAAAAAATGCTTAATATAAAGGACCCTTTCAGAATAAAAGCCTCAGTTGAAAATACTGACATTAGGCTTCATATCAATGATACCACCCACCAGGCATTTTAATACAAATAGGATATATTAAAAGACAGCAAACAAGATACCTTGGCCCCAACAAGTTGGCTACTTGTATGTTGGCAAAGGCCATAAATTAATTTAATTTATAGTATTTAAAAAGCAACTCAACTGGTATTATTTTTCAGAAGGGCACATTCCATTGTCTCTATTTTAAATTTGAATATCTATATGACTATGGAAAACCACTTTCTCAAATGATTGCATTCCTTCTACTATTCCCTAAAATCAATAGTGAAAACATTAAAGGTGACAGAGTTTACTCATATTTAATGGTTTTAGAATACCTAACAGCGAAGAAGTTACTAGAACATCTAAGAAAACATGAGAGAAGCAACATCATTTACTTGATTAAATCTGTGTGAAGGCAGAAAACATCTCTATAAATGATTACAGATCTACATGATAGAAAACATAAAGCTATTAAAATAAATCACATTGTCAAAGAATTTTCAAAAATATGAAGGAATATTCAAACTATAATACTAAGTGAAAATAGCACGATTCAAAACTTTCTACATAATATGAGCCTAGCCATATTTTTAAAATAGGAATATATGGCCCTGGCTGGTTTGGCTCAGCAGTGAGAACGTCGGCCTGTGGTCCAGAGAGACCTGGGTTCGGTTCCCACTAAGGGCGCGTACATCGGTTGCAGTTCGTCCCCGGACCTGGATGGGTCGTGCGGGTGGCAGCCACTCGATGTGTCCCTTTCACGTCGATGTTTCTCTCTCTCTCTCTCTCTTCCTCTCTCTCCCTGCCACTCTATCTGAACAATAAATGGAAAAATGTCCTCGGGTGAGTATAAAAAAAAAATAATAATAAAAAAGGAATATATGTGTGCACATACATACATTTTTTTAAAAGACAGGAAGAAATAAAATAAAATCTTAATAGCTATCATCTCTGGGTAAGAGAATTATTTTGGTGATTTAGCATTCCTTCTTTTTAAGTTCAACACCAAAATGTACTTAAGAGTAATAGAAAGGTTTTATGAACCACAAACAAATTTATTTGAAAAGCCAAGAACTCAAGATCAAAGACAACAAGGGAAGAGAGAGAGAGGGAGGGAGGAAGGGGGGGGAGAGAGAGAGTGAGAGAGAGAGAGAGAGAGAAATAGGAAGTAAAAACCATGACTGTTTGAAGGAGCAATGATCATTTCTTCTAGTGTTTAGCCTAAAAGTTAATGGGAATCCCAAAGACGTAAAAGCATGTACCGTAGGCCTGTGTTCCTGAGTGTCATTAGGACCTGCAATTTTACACATCACTGCGGAGTCCCAAGTTCTGAAGTGAAAGTTTTATAATACAATACAACCAATAAAATAAATAATCCATTTACAATGTTGAGAACTGGAAAAGTTCAGACATGATGGAATGGGTGAGAATGAAATGAGTGAAAAGTTAAATATTCTTTAAGTGCAGTGTTGTGGTGCTAGGGAAAACACTCTTGTCCCAATGACAGACTGGGCCTCCACCTTGAGAATTCGGTCAAATTTTCTTATGACAAGTAGTTTTAAGATTAAGGAGATGAAACCCTCTTGCATGAGGCCTAAAGACAGACTGACCTAAAATCAATTCCAGGCCACAGCATTTAGTCATGTGAGGGTCCTAGGGAACACAGCAGAACAGTGTAGTTCGCTGGAATCACAAAAGCAGGACCCTTAGGATTGAAAGGAGCTTCAGAGAGCATCTAGTCTAACCAGCAATGCTATTTTTAATGTTCTTCAACTTCCAGAGGATAAAGAATTATTCGCTTGTGATATAGCTTATGTCCTTCCATACTGGGGTCTGCATAGCACAGTATTCAGATGAACAGGTAGAAGATTTTACCAATCACAATGAAAGTCTAATAAAATCTTAAAGGTCTGTCAAGGGTCAGCAGTGTAAGTGCTTTCTGCCAATCCAGGAAACCTTTAAGGGGGATACGTTCATTATGACTGCAACCCCAGGAAGGGAATGAGTATTTCTATAAGAATGGTAATGCTGGTGAGAGAAGTGGAAGCTTGAGACACTGGTCCTAGGAGGAGCAGGATGTGAGATGGGAAGAAGAGTCCACCTAATAAGATGGCAGTGAGAGGAGGGTAATGGAAAAGAAGGAGCAGGACAAAAAGCTGGTGTCTGTTGTTCCTTATGACCCAAACACAGGGCATCAAAGACCTTCTGCAGCATCTTTTTGGAGGCAATGGATAAACTAGAGCCTCGGGGGAAGGGGAATGATGACGTAAACATCTTCAAACTGAAGGTGAGCAGAGGTGGTGGGACCAGTATCCAGGCAGGGAGAGATCCCAGAGGCCAAAATAGAAAAGAAAATGAATTACTCTTGAACTAGAGGATGAAAGCTAGGAGTGAAGTGTGGGTGTGCATGCATGACAAAAGACACAGAAGGAAGTCAGACAGAAAGAGAAAGAGATCAGGTGGGAGAGAGAGAGAGAGAGAGGGAGACAGAGAAAGAAAAAAAAAAAAACAGAGGGAGAAGCTACACCGAAATATACACATACAGACAATTAATAGAAAAACTGAGGGAAGAAAAGCCTGGGGGAGAGACTCAGAGATGGAGAAAAAATGCCTGGAACACAGGCCCTGAAAAGCCATGTGTTGTACAAAAGAACGAAGAGAGAGACTTGAACATTTGCAACTAGTACTGTACCCATTGGGTAAGAGTATGCCCCATGATACAGCTCAAATTTGAATTCTCAACCCTGTGGTTCTGCCTGGTATGATCAACAGTTATGTGCTGAGCTGAGCTAATTGTACAGAAATAGATGGGTCCAAGAGGAGCAGCACAAGAGAAGGGCAAGTGGGTGATCACATCAATCTCATAGGAGCTTTAAGATGGACCACCCAGCTAGTCACCGGGCACATTATCTGGGGCCGATAAAACCATGGAGGTAGGGGGTGATGATGGTGTGGGAGTAACAGTCTGCTTCCTGAACAGTCACGGGACACAAGTTCTCTCACACAACAGCTATTTCTCTAAGTAGTCAAGAGGAAAGAGAGAATTTAAAAGACTCACCTAAAAAATGGAAGGGATTACAACTAAAACTGACTGAATCAAAGTCAACCACCATTTACAGAGTACTTTGTATGTGCCAGGCCCTCTTTTAGGTGTTGGAATTACAGAGAAAAATAAAACCAGGAGTGTGACTTCAAGCTGCTCATAGACTCAAGGCAGGAGACCCAAAGGTTTGACAGAGGGTCAGACTTTGGGGGCTTTTGCATAAACATTCTGGGAGCAGCATGAAGGTGAATTGAAGCGGAGAGGGGCAGTAATTCCTCTGTGACACTTTCCTTGCCACCTCCCCTCCTCTGGCAGTGTCACTAGGGTGGTCAGTAATGTCTGAGAAGAGAAAATCCATTAATAATGTAACTTAGGGTGGCAAGCAATAATATATACCAATATATTAATAACTTTACAAGAAGAAAAAGCCTGGGATTGTGCAAGTGAGTGCCAGAAATTCTTCTTTTTTTAAATCCTCACCCCAGGATATTTTTCCATTTATCTTCAGATAGAGTGGGAGGGAAGAAGGGAGGGAAGGCTGGGACCAAACCACAACCAAGGTACAAGCCCTTGACTGGAATCGAACCTGAGACTCTTCGGTCCACAGGCCAACGGCCTAACTGCTGAGCCAAACCAGCCAGGGCTGCGATTCTTCACTTAACTACTGGGATTTCTCATTAATTTGGTTCCCTGTTTAAGCATTAAGTTTTAACCCAATTTTGACAGCAGTCTTTCTAAACATATTTATATACTTCGTCTTCTTAAGCAAAGTAAGAGCAGCCTATTTTTATAAATGTGGATTCTGGATAGCTAAAATGGCCAGAATAATCACTCTGGATATTATACTACAATATCTATTTATCACTTTAAAATAAGATATAGTAGCTTGATTTTTTTTCATTACAAAAATGTATATATACACTGTAGAAATATTATCTTCCCAAAAGAAATGTAAAGTACGCACTACTATCAAGGAGAAACAGACTGCCCTTTGGAAAGTGATAATTTAGAAACAGCAATTCACTATGTTACCATAGTGAGGTTCATGTTTTTGTAACAATTATCAAACTGCATTTCTCAAATATACACGGCATGATGAAACAATAAGATTACTTGTTTAAGAAAAAACATCAAAACAAGTCAAACTTAATGAATGACTTAGACTAAGTTAGATGTGATGCACGAAGAAAGTATCATAGCAGCATTCTTAGGAGGGGCAATGGGAACAAAAGAATGTCACAGTTCATCACCAGTAATTCTGGAACTCTCTCAAGCCTCCTATCAGCAGCATCAGAGTATAGATGACTCAATGGAGACTTGTCTAAAGTTCAACGTACCAATTGTGGCTCTAATTCTTTTTTTTTTTTTTAAGACCAACTGTTTTCTGGTTTCTACACATACCCAGGTCTAAACAAGCTCTACTCAAACTGGCTGTCAAAAAGAGAGACGTAGTATGTTGTGAATACCACCTATACCACATTTGGACTCAGTTCTGACCTGACCTACCTAATTTTCACAGGACTCTGTTAGTCTGTAATTGACACTCTTTTAAACCGTCACCACTTTATTTTACAATGAACAAGAGGAAAAACAATTCCTTCTGTAATTCCGTATTCTCATCATTTAGACACTCTTCTCGTGGCTTGTTAAAACCACACTTGAAAACTGTCAATGCTGGTAACTAAAATAAGTTGTACCTGTGTTCCCGGGCTAATGTACAGGGGATCTTGTCTACAGTCACATGGGGAGAGAATGCACCAAAGTTTATCAGAAAAGTGGAAGGGAGACACCTGACAAGTCATACTGAAGTTAGAGGACATGAATGGTAAAGACTGCTGACATTAACAAGTCATTACTCTAGGTGCTCTTGATGTTTCACCCCAGTTAATGATCACATTAAGCCTATGAGGGAGGTGCTTTTTCTAGCCCTGTTTTACACATGAAGTAACCAAGGCTCAAAGAGGTCAAAGTCACATGGCCAGAAGGTGACATTAATCAAGATACCCTATTTCCAAAGTCTATACTCCTAGCCTCTTAGTCACGAATGTTAAGACTCTCATTTTATAAATAAGGCAATGGATGTAAAGTGTACTTATAAAAGAAAAAGTATTTATAACTTTAAAAATCATTATTATTATTTAAATAATTAAGTTAATTTTACCATTCGGCACAGTAACAATGAAACCTCAATATAATCCTACCAACAGGGTCCAAATTGTGAAACCACATAGGGTTAGTAGAACCAAACTAAGGCCCTCTGTGACTTCTGGCAACAAACACTAGAGATGGGCTCTCTGACAGACTGGTCTTATTCTAAAGTCGATGTGTTACAGTGATGTACTGTTTTATTCTTCTGGTGGAGAACTCAGTTCTATGAAGTACACGTAAGTGCCCTCACATCTGGATTTTGGGCAGCTGAGAATACAAAGTTCACCCATTACTATTCTTAAAAAGTCCTTACTCCCAGACAGATCTGCTAATGAGAATTGATATACATTATAATTCTCTCCCTAAATTTTTATTACACATGACACAAAAAGATAAAAGGATTAACAGAGTTGGCACATCATTTTACTATCTGGCTACCATTACACTTTTGTGGTAGCATAAAGAATTGTTCTTCCGCCCTGGCCGGTTTGGCTCAGCGGTTAGAGCGTCGGCCTGTGGTCCTGAGAGACCCGGGTTCGGTTCCCGCTAAGGGCATGTACCTCGGTTGCAGTTTGTCCCCGGCCCTGGTCGGTTGTGCGGGTGGCAGCCACTCGATGTGTCCCTTTCACATCGATGTTTCTCTCTCTCTCTCTTTCCCCCCACTCTACCTGAACAAAAAATGGAAAAATGTCCTCGGGTGAGGATAAAAAAAAAAAAAAAAGAACTGTTCCTCCATTTCTATCTTTTCACCCTGAAAAAAGTCAGGTAGTATAGAGATGAAAGATACGAGCTGTGGAGTCTAGAGCCCGTGTAGGTTTAGATCCTGGCTCCTGCTGCTGGCTGTCCAGCACCAATCAAGCTCCTTACCTTTTCTAAGCTGTGGTTTCCTCATGTGTAGAATGGGAGTCACCCCTACTTCAAAGGCTGATTGTGAGAACTGAGTGAGAGTGCACACAAATTGCTAAGCAAAGTGTCTGCTACGTGATTCAATAGCAACAAAAGAGGAGACAGTAAAAGACATCAATCATGTCAGAAGAATGCGATGGAACACTTATGAGGTATTTATTGATTCAGGAGATTTTTTTTCTTTTACACGGCATTTAATATAAATGCTGAAATTGAAAGAAACCATTACAAATAATGACACATCACATTTTCCTTATCAAGCAACCTCTCTTGAAAAAGAAAGGCCTAGCCAGAGGAAGAACGCTAAACGTTTATCCAGAATTTCTTTGAAATCTCAAATCTCCAGTTAGAAAAAATAATAGTGAAGATAAAAAAAATACTTACCACGTTTCAAATGCTGATTGTCTTTTTGAGTGGTTAGTACCAGAACTGCTTTCTGATGGCAGGGAAGAAACTCTGGTTGACACATTATTCTCATGGAAAGAATTATCTGGACGTGGAGATGGCACTAAATAAAGAAAGTCACTGATGTACTCTTTTGGTCAAAGCAGTATTCAGGTTATTCTATTGTATTTTTTCTCACATGAATAAAACACAAACAGATCTTTCAAAATCCTCATCTGCCCTTCAGGTAATTTTTGTGTTTTCTGAGGGTGGAAACATTTCAAGGAACACTCTCCCTACCTCCACTGCTTATAAGAGCAACCTGTGAGGGTTAGTCAACACCAGGCAATAAATACATCACATCACCAGGTGATATCAATTGACCTATCAGCTAAGAAATTGAAAAACACTATAGGATATTTATTTAAAAATATTTTTATTGATTTTTGAGAGAGAAAGGAAGAGAGCGAGAGATAGAAACATCAATGTGAGAGAGAAACATCGATCAGCTGCCTCCTGCATGACCCCCACTGTGGATAAAGCCTGCAACCCCAGGCATGTGCCCTGACCGGGAATTGAACCGGGACCTCTCGGTCCATGGGACTACACTCAATCCACTGAGCCATACTGGCTAGGCAATTGTAGGATATGTAAAAGTATGAATATGATAGCCCTCCTTCACTGTTTTGACATTCTTTGAAGGTGAAGCTTTTTTACATCATAAACCCAACTATGCAAAATATGTTCTTAGTCTGAAGTGATTCTTAACAATATGTGTGCTGGAATATACAAAGTACCATTTAGGCTTTGACACTTGGGAGGCAGCATCAATTTTATATTTTTTAAATTAAATCCCAAAGAAATTTGGTTACTTGCACAAGAATACACATTTTCCTCTACGTTCTCAATCTAAGAATAAACAGAAAGATACACCAAATTGCATCTGAGTAAATACTTTTCTGCTTTTTAGGTGAGGGTTCCTATTTTTTTCCTGTCAATTTCTAAGCTTGGTCATAGATCAAAATATATTTCAAATTTCATCACAAAAGGAAAATATAGGCTGTATATCAAGACAAATGACATAATTTCACTTGACTCTCAACCAGTAAGACTGAAAAGGGAAAATATTCTGGAAACATCAAAATGGTATCATTTTGGTGATATCACAAAATCTTTGTTAGATTTCGTAGCATCATTGAAATGGCAGCTGTCTCCAGATGTTCACCTAGTTAAATTTTTTCTATTTGTAGACTTTGTAAAATAAAGAGGTCCCAGTTCAATTCCGGTCAAGGCACATGCCCGGGTTGTGGGCTCAATCCCCAGTAGATGTCATGCAGGAGGCAGCCAATCAATGTTTCTCTCCCTTCTTCTCTCTCTAAAAAAATCAATAAAAACATATTTAAAAAAATGTTCTGCCCAATCCTGAAGTGGATTATCAGGAAGACAAATGAGGGGCTTCACTGATATTAATTGATTTAATTTACTTGCAATCAAAATAAAACTGTGGTTCCAGATTAATTAAAATGTTAACATTTTATATTATATTCCACAGCCCTGGCCAGTTTGGCTCAGCGGTAAGAGCGTCGGCCCGTGGACCAGAGGTCCTGGGTTCAGTTCCCATTAAGGGCACATACCTGGGTTGCAGTTTGTCCCCAGCCCTGGTTGGGGTCATTTGGGTGGCAACCACTCGATGTGTCTCTCTCACATCGATGTTTCTCCCTCTCTCCTTCCCACTCTGTCTGAAGATTAATGCAGAAATGTCCTCGGGTGAGGATAAAAAAAAAATTTATATTCCACAGACCTCTATAGAAATAACATATGTATGGTCCATTTTGGAAGTAAAACTTATAGTGATAGAAGAAAAGGCTTTTGCTCATGTATACTACAAGATTTTGCTTTAAATAACTTTAATTTGAATTAAAATTTTAGTCCCATAAGATTCTAAAGTAACCATAGCATGAGGGGGCAAAAAAAAAAAAAAAGCATTAAAAAACATATTCAATGCCTTATGCATTTTTCAAAGGCGGGGCTGGGAGGGAACAGAGTAGCCTAGTCATTCAATATACATTTAATCCTGAATAACACTTGTATGTATGTATTTAGCTTGGGTTCCTGGTTAAAATGACCAAGCAACTGTCTGCCCCCACCCTCAATTCCTGCCCTTTCCAGCTGTCCTCCCAAATTAACACAATAGTGAGAAGTCAGGCAATGTGGTTGAGGGCATCTGTAGAAGGTTTTGAAAAGTTGAGCTCCCAGATCCAGGACCTTGCCCCACCCTGGTGGGCTTGTTAACTGTCTCCTTTCTACAGGCTGGGGCTCCCCAGGGGCTCCTACTGTGTTATTACATAGCTTCTTAAAAGGGATGTCTTTCTCTGTCAACATCTTCTAAATCCATACAGTCCCCAAATCATCTGTTTTAGATGTCTATTAAACTTCAAAGTGCAATTTTAAGGCTGTGCAAGTACACCTGAAGATTTTCTTTCATTCAATCAACAAATATTAATGAAACTGCCAGGCAGTAAGCATTGCTAGTCAATGCGGGTGAAAGAGGAAAAAATAAAGGGCCACGCAACCTTGTGAGAGAGAAATGCAGACAAGGAATCAGTATCATGTGTCCTGTATGTCATGTTAGAGGCCTAAACAAGGAACCATGGGTGGAACAGGGGAGGAAACACTTCAATTCATCTGGGTGGGCAGGAAAGACACTACACTGCAGAGAACCTCACAGTAGAATCTTAAAAGGACAGAAACAAGCTATCCAAGGGGGGCGGATTGCAGGCCAGAGGAGGGTGTGGCCTGTGTGAGTCCCATAGGCTGGGTACCAGAGAGGAAGAGGAGCAGCTGGAAAGGATGTCAGGGTCAAGGCATGCAAAGTCTGGAATGCCACCCTAGGAAATTCAGATTTTGTCTTGATACCAATGGGGAAACCACCAGAGGGCTCTCAGCAGGATAAGAGGAGAGGTGGGGGGCAATGAGTTGCCTTGTTCTATTTTTTTCCTATAGCATTTACTAACTTTTACTGCTTTACATAATTATTACATTTAGTGCTGCTCTCTTCCAATGAGGATATGAGCTCCGTGAGGGTAAAGACATTCAATTGTCATGTACATTGCCATGTTCTAAACTAGAACAGTGCTATGCACACAGGTGACATCGATTATTTTATCCCTCAACTGAATCAATAAGTGGTGTGGTTAGAACACAGCTTCAGAAGGGTCATTCCAGAGACTGTTTTGATGGTGACCTTGGAAATAGGAAGACTACTGAAAGAACCCAGGTCAGAAGCCTCAAGGACCTGAAATAAGACAGAGGGACCCGGAACCGGGAGAAGCGTTGGAAGGTGACAGCACAGGTGTTATCACACTGACCTGAAGCACAGTGAAATGTAGTGGGGGGGGGGTGTGGGTTGGAGGTGTAGTTGAGGGGCAGAGTTGAGAGGACCCTGTTGGCTGTCAGGGGCCAGGCTTACCTCGGTAGAAGCTGCCAACTCTCCTCGGAACAGGATCATTGTACAGATGTCTATTTTCTTTGGGGGCAGTGCCATCATCAGAGTGGGGGTCGTGATATGCTCCACCCTGAGACAGGAAACAAGTTTACATTTATATAAAGTAAACAGCCTGTGAACTTAGAATAGTGCCTCGTTGATTTATAATTTACTCCAGGATCTTTTTAAGAGAAAACTCAGAATTACGGCATGAGGAAAACTACTTTATAAGCCAGCCCAAATTATTTGTGGGAGATTGGGTATGGATAAATTTTAAAAGATAGGCTGTAATAATGTTGAATGACCAATCTTTATAGACAGGTTTTATCATTTAAAGGTAGCAACTCTGGAGAACTCAGACCTCAGACTTCTGCCGTGAGTGGAATGAAGGGTTGCCTTCTCTGGAGGGTTCCTTAACGGAAGATCTTGCCACAGTCATCTCCGGAGGAAGTTGTTCCCCGGGCTGGAAGTCAAATTGAAAAGGATCAGTAAGACTTGTCTTTATAAATGATAAAAATCACCTAAATCACAATAGGCTTTATTTGGTATAAACAGTACCTTAACCAACTAAAAGAAAAAATGTTAACTGGCTAAAACACCAATTGTCCCATAAAAGAGTTGGTCATCTGATGAATGTAAAATAAGTCAAACGACTGTCACATAGATGGAAAGTGAAATTCTCATTAAAGTTAAGGCGAGCAGGGAAGGAATTACTCTGAAAATAGTTCAATTAATTATTAAAAACAAAGAAAATCATCTTCCTAATATCTAGACAGTCATGGTCCTGTGCAACACTCTAATTAGAGATTCTATTAGTTAATCCAAAATTTCTCAAGCAGATTCGAAATTATTTTTCATGAAGGACTTATATGGCATAGTCAGATGAAAACTAAAGTTCTTTGGATATACTGAGAAACAGAATCAGTACTCTTAATAATTTGTCTTAAAATTCTCTAACTACTGTAGTTTATATACTTAAGTTCTCTTCTGAAAATTCTCTAGGATAACTGTACTTATATTTCATGTATTTTCTTAACCATAATTATGACACTGCTCATCTTGGGAGATACTACCCATTTCTCTCAAGGAAGTGATTCACAAACTAAGAGCAGCACTGGCCCACAATGGTGTTCAATGAAGGAAAAAGCAGCATTTTCTACCCTCAGAAAAAAAGATTAAGGAACAAAATTACCAAGCCATTAAGAGGAGTTAGCTGCATTATGTCTTATCTTGAGCCTTATGTGATGTATCAAAAACGTTTTATTTAAAATTTAAAATCGAGTCTCTGTCTTTCTCCTCCTCACTTTCCAAATGTACTATGAAAGGATTCTGGGCAGGAAATCATCCAATCCAATATAGCCTTTCTTCTTTCTACTTTATGACAAGATCTCACATAAATTTTATCACCTGTATTGTTTACAAAGGCCCCTAAAAAGTATTTTAGAAAACAAATGATTTACATCTAACCTAAACTCTTAAATGACAGTGCCAGTCCAGCCCCTTTACTCTTGAAGGAAGCTACAACACTTTGCTAGAGGGTGAGTCCCCTCATTTATTCATGGCTTTAGTTACTTGTCAAGCCGTCTGCCATCTCTGTGTCTTTAAACTTGTACTGTTTTGCAGCTTGGCACTGTACATCTTGAACTGGACCTAACATTCAGTAACAGTTGGATCTGTGCTTAGCCCACAGTAACTGTTTATAATTAGCTTATTTCCACCATGTTCACAAAGTCTTTTTCTGGAACTCTCAAAGAGCTAGTCCACTTGTCCTTTTTCCAGGTTCAAGCTTTTTGTTTTTCTTACTTCTCTGTTTACACTATGCTTAGAGCTAGGATACTTTACCTGGTTTGACCTTAATGTCTATGGGTCTCTGCCAGGCTCTAGAGATCTTTGTAGGTCCTGGAGGTTCTCTCCTCTCTGGAGGGACTCCTTGGAGGCAGCCCCAACCACTGCTCTGACTCCAATCATGACATCTCCTGCCTCTCCTCTCACCTAGGCGCCAGACAGTCTTTCCAACCTCCTGAATAACACCTCTGCTTAGACACTCAGGGTCACATCAACCTCAACATGGTCAGCATGATACACTATAAAGAGCACTGACTAGAGACCTGAACATTACCTCATGATCCCAGCTCTGCCCTGAACTAGTGAACTTATGAAACAAGGCCAACTTCTCCCAGCCTCAGCATGCTTATCTGTGAAATGAAGGGGTTGAATGCAGTGACCTCAAAAGTCCTCTTTTCTATTCCCAAAAGGAGCTCCTAGAAAAGCAACCTTGAAGGCTTTCTTTTTCCTATATTCAGTCCAATTTACAATTCCCATTGTTTCCACTTCTGAGGAGTCTTGTAAAACTCATTCTTTCTCTGTTTTCCCACTGAACATTCTCTCCTCACCTCATGCTTGGATTATTGCAAAAGCCACCCCAAATCTTGCATTTCCATTCCAGCAAGGTGTAACAAGTTGCAATCCCCATAGCACACCATGCTATTGAATGTCTCTCTTACCCTCTTCTTCCTTGCAATGCTCTTTTCTGCTCCCCTCAAGCCTCTTTCCTGATGTCTACTCCACTGTCTTCCCCTAGTTAAGTCCCAGAAGTCTCTGCTTAGATAACACCTCCCCTGAGGGCCTCCCACAAGCCCCTGCCTGACTGTCACTACGGCACACACACACCTCTAGCACAGTGCAGGCACATAGCCAAACAGTATTGTAATGAATTATATGTTGGCAAATGTGCAACCCTCACCTCAGCCCTCACATTCTAAGAGGACAGGGACCACATCTTTCTAATTAGAGCCAATCATGGTGCCTAGCTCAGTAAATGCCTAACACGTCTTCATTCTCTAGCTTTCTAAAACCTCTCTCTACATCCTAGCTCAGAGCAAGACCTTTAGTTGCCCCTAAAGTCATTTCTGACTGCTCCTACTCACGATGCTCTCTCCCTGTTCTCAGCTCCTATTTATAGCCAGTGCCATAGGAATGTGGTTCCCAAATAGTTCATTGTTATCATGTATAATTTAATCTTCCCAGAAAGAAGATAAGTTTCTGAAGGGCAAGAACCCTACTTCAGACTCTCTGAGTGCCCAAGAATACCCAGCATAGAGAAGGTGTTCCAAGTCTAAAGCACAGCCCCCACCATCATAGAAACAGCAGCAACAACTAAAATTTGTTCGACACTTATTTTGTGCTGAGCACTGGGCACAGTGCTTTATACACCGTCTTTAATCCTCATAACAACACTCAGATGAGGAATCTGAGGCACAGAGAGATTGTATCACTTTCCCAAATTCAGTTCGAAGCACACTGCAGAACTGGGATACAAACCTGGGTCTGCCTGGTTTCCCAGCTGAGCTCTTGTCAATACACTCTCCCCAGCACTCATCTTGCTAAGCCTCCCATTATATTTTTCACCCATATTTTCTAGAGTTCTTATACACGCTGATGAACCTATTTTCATTGCCTCAAAAAGGGGGGAGGGCTTTCCCTACACGAAACTCTTCCCCTTCTGACACTGACGTTTCTCCACCTTCATTTCTTTGATCAAGGCGAATATTTAATACCACAAAAATGTAATTAAAAAAACAAAACAAAAAACCGTGTTCTGTTGCAAGAATGCTGCTGCTTTAAACAGGTCAGTGTCAGTTCTAGAGTGTATAGAGCAATAAGATGGAAGAAATATTGCACTAAAAGCACTGTCTTGAGATTAAAAACAATCCAAAAACTGAACATTGACATTTATCCTGGCCTGGTATTAAATTTCTCTATAGTTCTGAATAAGTTTAACATGTTTCAATTCGGTTAAGATATTGAATAAGGTCTTAGTATTGAATAAGGGTTGATTTAAGCAAACATGGTTTGGAACAATTAGAGAAAAATCTCCATGAATTCTCACTGAATTTTGAGAAAATTAAAAACTAACCCACATAGCCAATGAATTCTATAATCTCAACACAATATGCCAGAAAGGAACATTTAAGGAAACATATTTCTGAAAACAAGCTTTTTGAGTTCTGAGTACTCAACAGTTGGCTTAAATGATTCAATTATTTTAAACAGATTAGTCCTTCAAGTACTGCTTCCCTAAATGCATCCTTTCAAGCAAGTACAACCTCTTACAGTAGGGAAAATTGCAGACTGACCCTATTCAACCCTGCACCACCTTCCCATGGTGAGCCGAGAGATCCAGTCACGGCCCTCAGATGTACCTGAGGTGATAAGAGCTGCAGGCTGTTGGCTCTGGCTGCCATCCCTTGCCCTACACTCAGGTTTCCATCCAAGCCTTTGGCTCTCACTTTGTCCCGGGTCACATACATGGAATGCCTATGTGGTCGCTGCTGGGAGGAGAAGGGGCTGGTGTAGCCCAGCCCATAAGAAAAGGATTCATGAGGTGCAGAGAGTGAATGAGAATGGCTGCTGTCCACATGTTCCGGCAGCTTCAACTCGTCCATCGTTTTTGAATGCCTGACTATGGTTCTGCGTGAATCCAGAGTGCCTTCATTTCGATTATTTCTCCCCGAGGGGCTGAGCAAAGTTCTTGTGTCGCTGTGCCTGGTGGGGGTTGGGCTGGTCGGAGAGTTCAAGTCCAAGCAGCTAGATGGGAAGTACCTGCTCGTATTGGACTCTGCAATTTGGGCCCTGGGTTCAGAAAGGTTGCTCACAGACTTGGAGTCACTCAATGCCCCATGGCTTTTGGCCTTGGTCCGGTAGGATGGACTCCTAGAGGACTGGGGAATGGTGTCAATGTAGCTGTGCCGACTCTGCTTTTCACTGGGCTGCAGTGTCCCAGCTTTGCTCTGAGAGCTTTCCATAAATGAGTGCCGATTCTGCTGGGATCTGCTGCTCGACTTGAGGTACTTCGTGCCCGGGCCTTCCGAAGGCTTTGGGTCAATATTGAAATCAAATTCTGCCTTTGACTTGGCTTCTTTTGGGCTGAGAAGGTGTGGTATGTTGTTGTTGGTAAGATCTTTGCTGGTGGACCCGGGCTGGCTGCTTGCCTGGTAGGTTTTGGTGTGCATGGGGCTAAGAGTAGCTCCAGCAAGGTTTCCGTTTAGGAAGCTTTCGTTGGCAGGAAGACCTTCATCAGCCCGGGGCAGACCCACGCTTAGGTTCTGGATGTCCTTGCTATTAGATCTGTGGTGAGACTGCAAAGCGGCACTTTTGCTGGCTTGATTTCTATGTTAAAAAAAAACCCCAAAAAGTGTATCAGTTTTCCTCAATAGCAGACACACAAGAAATATCATTTAAAAAAAAAAAAAGACACATACCTAAAACACCTCAAAGGCTAAAAACATTAAGTCTTTCACACTAGGATCAACAAATAACAAGTAACCATAAGCAGTAAGTACCTTAGATCAATCAAGTACCTCTGCAAAAAAGCACCAGTCCTGAAGAAATTATTTGGACATCTTTAAAAGCTTAGCTAACTTTCTACAAATACAGTTTCTAACTGATAATCTGGGAAAACATGCTTTTGCTATGTTGCTGCTCACATGCGTGTTGGTTACGGAACGCCTGCTAAGAAGAGAGTCGAGCTATAGACAAACTCTTTATGACTCTGTCTGCTTGAATGTCAGAAGGCAACATTTATACTTGAAGGTCACTGTGTTCCTTGAACTTCGTTTTTATTTGTCAAACTCACAGCCTGTCTCAGAGGTACATACTCACAGTATATACACACAGATACCAGTGTCTCTTTCGTCTTTCGCCTATATCATCAAAGAATGAGAATTCTAGCAAGGTACTCAATACGAAAAATAACACTCTAAAAAGAAATGTAAACAGTCTGGTGAGGTTTGTTGGAAAACATGCTGCTTAATGTTTGTGTTTCAGAGAAGTGGCAATACTTGAGGTTCATCAGATACTTCCTTGTACACTCAACAGGAATCTGCCCACCCCCAGGTCAATAAGGGACAGTTCCCAGAATTGTCAATTTATATCTCGGTAACTAGAATACCTTAGCAAGTTTTCAAAACGTTAAACGATGATAGATAGTCTCACCCATAAATACATATGATTAAGTGTGTTGGTTATTCTCCATTTGCCCAATTCCCAATCCATTGTCCACTCCTTTCTGCCTCATCCCAGGCCTCAGGAGCCCAACTCTGTAGACTGCGTCACCCAGGCTCCTTTGCAGTGTAACTCCCAGTGGGGCTTAGCAGTGCAAACAAAGGGTTGGGGGCTGTCTTCCCTGCTCCTTCCAGGCATCAGCACCCTGACTCAGATCATAGCTGTGTTCCTCCAGATTACAGCTCTCACGAGGTGGCCCTTTCTGCCTGGCCCCTCTGGGCTCTCATAACCCTATTTCCTCCCCTTTCTCCTCCAGGCCTAGAAAGAGTAATAGTAGGGACAATAGATGTAGATATTGTGAAATGTCTGAAGCTCCAGCCAGGAAAGGATAGAGAAAAGTGAAGACGGCTGCTAGTTTTGAAACTTGGAAACATTGCTCACAAGGTGGAGCACAAACTTACATGTGAGGAAGAACATATTCATAACAATGTAAGATACAATTTCTAATGTGAAAAGGGAGACTATAAAGTTAGTAAGTTAATTAAGTTAGAGATACTTGTCAGAGTTAGGTTTCCCATAAATTTACTAAGAGTCTAAACTGCTATCCTGAATGTTTCTACCTTGGTATTAATCTAAAGGTACTGAGCTTGCACATAATTCCTACATAGGAAGGGCATCAAATTGTCTTCAAACTGGAGCCCTGCCAAACACAACAACAAAACTACTTTGAAACTTTCATCTCTTGGATACACAATTATAAGGAATCTGTGTTAAACTGCCAACCACTTAAGAGGATTTAATATAAAAACCCTTCTAAAATGATTGGCAGGATGGATAGATGGGTGGGTGGGTGGAAGGAAGGAAGGAAGAAAGGAAGGAAGGAAGGAAGGAAGACACTTATTAGTTACAATAACTTTTCAAAGCAAACATCAAAGATGCAAAGCTACACTTTTATGAAGAAGGTTGGCAGAACAGGACTGGTAAAAGCAGTGAAGGGCAAGCTGAAGTATCATCTCTCCACGTCCAAGGTGAGCAGAACCTCAGGAGAGTTTGAAGGAGATTTAGTCAGGGGCTAGGTAATGCAAGAATCCATTGCCTCTCTTATAGACACATGAGCTTGGATGACAGAAGACAGTGTGTGTGTGTGTGTGAGGAACAAGGCAGAGGAATAATTGGCAGCCAACATGATATGGTGCCGTGAACATCTCTACAATGGTGCTGGAAACTTCAAGAAAGCCATGGTCTGTGTAGAATTAGCACCCCCCAAAGAAGGACTACTATGGAGGAAATATGGACCATAGACAAGTGTAAAGAAGACATTTCCACATACATGCAAATTGAGCTAAGATATTAAAAAAAAGTGTCAAGATCTAAAAACCAGTTCTTCCAGAGATTTTTTTTTATTTTTTATCCTCACTCGAGGACATTTTTCCATTTTTTGTTCAGATAGAGCGGGAGGGAGAGAGAGGAAGAGAGAGAGAGAGAGAGAGAGAGAGAGAGAGACAGAGAGAGAGAGAGAGAGAGACATCGATGTGAAGGGACACATCGAGTGGCTGCCACCCGCATGACCAACCAGGGCCGGGGACAAACTGCAACCGAAGTACGTACCCTTAGCGGGAACCGAACCCGGGTCTCTCTGTACCGCAGGCCGACGCTCTAACCGCTGAGCCAAACTGGCCAGGGCTCTTCCAGAGATTTTTATTTACTTATACATTCTATTCTCCTCTGCTTCAAAAAGGGATTTGGGAGGACTCCTCAAAGACCTATATAAACTGTATCCTCATCAACACACACATTCTCCTTGACAGATCCCTAAAAAGGGTTCCCACTGGAGATCTCTCTCAAGTGAGTCACCAGAGGACAAATACACATTTCATGGTATGGATTATACCACTAATCACTATGGTATGAATCAAAAATCAGTCTACTAAACTTTATATCATTAGGATCCTTTTTTTTTTTTGCAAATGTAACCTAGAGTGAAGTGACAATTACAATAGATGGGAGACAAAAGCACCCGAACTGGGAGTGATCCCAGATAAGACAACCATAATGTAAACCTCCTCAATGCAAAGGAGCAACCAAATGATGCATACTAATCCTTGACTTAATGTACTAAGATCTCATGCAAACAGAAAACAAAGTGAACACAAACTTGGTTAAACAAAACTTGAATCTGCTCCCAGGCCTTCAAACAAACAAACCAAAAAAACACAAAAAAACAAAAAACAAAAACCCAAGTAAGACTGGTTTATAAGATGTGAGGGAACCAATAATACCAAAGCCAATCACTTTAAAGAGAGTAAACAGCTATATATAAAACAAAAACAAAACAAAACAAAGTCACACCATCACAGTTAAGCAGAGAAAATATAGGATAAGTGTTTATTGACAATTTATAAATGCACTCACAGATCTAAAAGTACCAGGTCTTGAGCTTTAAAAATTACATTAGATTAAGAACAATTACAATTACTCTACATGGAAACAAAATTGGGTGTGGGAGTGGAAATAAGAGAAACTTATATTCAAAAAGCTTCATATTAAGAATTATTGTTTTCTATTTCTCTAATAGTAGATGAGAGAAACTATTTCCTATCTCCCATAGTCTAAGCAACACTGGATGACAAGACCAGCTTCTTGGGAGAGGAAGGAAGACAAACACACTGCCCTCCTGTAAATGCAGCCAACAGATCATGGGATGGCAGTTCTGGAGAGAGAAGGTGACTGCATGGTCCTATCCCTTGTGAGTCTCCCCGTCCCAAAACATAGAGGTTCCTTTTAAAGATTATGCTGAGAAATTACATTTGAAAAAAATACCAATTTTAATCACTACCTTCCAAACTGACTTTACTATTTCCATATTCTTATTCTTATGAAAAAAATAACTTCTCAAATCAATCAAAAGACAAGAGCAACAAAACACAAGACTTCTATAGAGCCAGACCTACTTGGTTCAGTTACAAAGATTGTTCTAGGTACCTTCCAATATCCGGGTTTGGTATCCTATGCCCTCTCCAGAAATCCCCTTGCCCTAACCTACCCTTCTTCCCCAGGTATCACCCCTAGGTCCCATTACACAGAATCTTCTGGCTCATGAGGCTAGAACCCTCCTCAGTTGCTAACCCATGCTACCTTTCCCAGGGAATGCATAGGTTTCCATAATATACTTGTTAAAGATAAGAAAGTCTTTAAGACCCACACGACTCTTAAATTGTGGTTCTGAATCATGTAATAAGCATAAGGAAGATATTTTTGAATAAAGAGGGCTTCCCTTCTTTTTCTCTAATTGCATCATTTAAGCACCCACCTCCTCCACCTACTTGTAAGACCAATACTGCATCTGTATTTCCTTAAAAGGGAATATTTACCTATTAGACAAAGTGCTGCTTTCCACATGGTAAGGTTTCCTTTTTGTTGACCTTGAAGGGGAACGATCCAAAAGTCTCTGGGTTTGAAATGCAGGGTGATTCAAACATTGTTCAGTCAAGTATCTTTCAGCTGGGTCCAACTTCAGTAAATTCTTAAGAAATAAAGTTAGGGTTGGAAAGAACATTACAACATCAAATTTAATCTGTCTCAAAAACCTTATTTATTTTCTTATAAAAGAAATGCATGGTCATTGAAGAATATCTAGCAAACACAGTTTAGTCCAAACAAAAATTTTTAAGGACTATCTAAATCACCCACAATCTTACCATTGCTGTCCTCTGGGGATATGCCCTCTCAGACGCTTCTTGAATAATACATATATTTCCTTTTACAAAATCTGGTTCATATTATACACTTAATTTTTGTATCCTCCACTTTTCACTTACTAATCAAAAACATTATTTACAACATCATTCTAACACTTCAAATGTTTTTGGAATAAGTATATAGTCACATGGAAGAATACACATTTTTCATCTTTCTCCTGTCCCCCTCTCTAGAGGCAGCCCGCATTACCAGTTTCTTGTGCATCTGTATTTAACTCTGTCTGCTCTGTTCCTATCTCTAACTGCTCCTTTTATTTTACCCAAATAGTAGCATACACACAATGGTCTGCACTTAGTTTTCTTCCCACTGGACATTAGATCTTACGAGATCATTTCATATCAGTAAAGAGCTTTAACTATGGATGTACCTTAGGTTGTTTTTAGCAATTCCCTAAGGATAAACATTTCGGTTGTTTCCCTTCTTTTATTATTATAAACAATGTTACAACAAAAAAACTTCATTAACAACCCTGGCCGGTTTGGATCAGCGGTTGGAGCCTTGGCCTGTGGACCAGAGAGTTCTGGGTTTGATTCCTGCTAGGGGCACATACCAAAAAAAACAAAAATCAAAACTTCATAACATGTTTTTAAATGACTATATACAAGTCTGTGGTATGGATATACCGTAATTTATTTAATCAATTTCCTACTGTTGGACATTTAGATGGCTGTCACTTTTCACTATTATAATTAACATTGTAACGAACACCTGAAATCTTTGTCATACATCCATGATCCTTTTCACAGGATAAACTAGAGATGGAACTGGTAGGAATGCAAACTTTTAAAGATTATTTTCTATATGTTGCCAAATTACCCCCTAGGAAGTTTGTCTCAAACGATACTCCTCTAAGCAAACGAGAGTCTACCAATTTCCTGGCACCCTTATCAACAGCAGCCACTATTATTCTTTTTAGTACTTGTAAATTCAATATTTTTAAAATGGCATCTCATAGCTGTTTTAATTCATATCTTTGATGACTATTGAGGTTGAATATTTTTATGCTTATTGATTACTTATATTCCTTCTTTTATTTTTCTAATTTATTTCTAAGTGTTCTTTATTCATTAAGGTACTAATCCTTTTACATTGCACACAGTTTCTTTTACAACTAAAATATTTTCTTCTGATAATATTTATTATCTTATTAGTAACTGAACAAGATTTAAAAAGGTGACTCATTACTAAAACTAAATGGTTTTATTGACAAATTAAATATATAAAGAAACATAACCTATCTCACCTAACACAACTCAATAGAGCACACTGAACTTTGCTCTGAGTGATGGGCATTCTCCTTCAGAGAAAGGAAGAAGGGTAAGATTCAAGCATTCCCAAATCCATCTCTAGATCACTTTCATTGGTTTTGCCAACAATAATCTCTTTGTGATCCACTGTTGAACACTAAGAGTGAACCTAGATTTGATCCCAATAAGCCAGAATTCAATTTTAGACAACCACCTTTAACCTAGCATCACAGAAAATTTGAAATGTGATCCTTTCATATACTGAAACATTCACTTGGGGTCAGAATCTAGACACTCAGGCCATTGCTTACATGCAAATGAATTTACATTCATGTTAATTCAGATACAACTCTAAAATCATCTCAATTCTTCCTTCCTCCTTTTTAGAAAACAAAAATTGTGGAGGTATATAAAATGATTTTAGTCTCACCGGCAGTTAAAACAGTTAACATCAAAATGGTTAAAATTGCGTGATGCTAATTAAAACAAAGGAAAGTCAGCCTCCGAGTAGTATTTCAAATTAGAAGTACATATGACCTTTTAGAAGTCAAATATCTACTAGCATTAAGGTGTTATTTTAAGATTATCAACAGTAGAAATTACTACATATACACGCAAATAACTATTTTTATATTTATGAATATAGTTGTTAATTTTCAAATTACTTGGAAGGATGAGGTCAATATGAGGAAAGCACAAAACAACATAATTTTTAAAAAAAAAAACTAAAATAAAACCCATATAATTACTGTAGCTATTCTTTACGTTATTAGGGGCTTAGATTAATTCTGGAGGCTTATATCCCCACTAAAATGACCGACATGTATAAACAGATGCAGAATGAGATGGCCATTTCAGGTACTTATATATGGATAAAATGGTCAAATCTGCTTTAGGGAAATGGCATAGAGAATACATTTCTTCATAAAAAGGTAAGTGGTACTATTTATTTTTCAAATTTGTTTTCAAATACAACTGAAAGACAAAAGGAATAATTCTATTTATATTAATATTCAATAATAATAAGGTGATATTACTCTTTGGTAACAGAAATCAGAATCATGGTTTCTAGGCTTAGTGAAAGATGGAGTGTAGAGTCTGAGAGAGGGTCATAGGAAGCTTCTGGGATGTTAATAATTTTCTATATCTCAGTGTGGGTGGGTTACACAGATACGCTTACATTATAAAAATTAACTGAGATGTACACATAATTTGTATACCTTATGAATATGTATTTCAATAAAATGGTTCTTTGATGTTCAGAAAATTTGAGGATAAATATATTAAACGAATAAGAATTAGACTGTTTAATTTCCGAATCGGTATAAATGCAGAGATTCAGGTTATCATTGTACTTTTATCTGTGCTAGATTTTACCAGGTACCACACACTGATGCTTGGTAATTACATTTGGTAATTATTTAACAAGGAAAGTTCAATTATTTTTAACTATAAAAAGATAAAAAGGCAGAAAACATGAAATTTAATTTAATTTAGTTCTATTTTATTTTGTTTACATTTTAAAAGTTACCAAATAATTAAAACTCTGATAAATAAATATTGATTGCACGAAAGAACATATTGACAAAACCGAACTGATTTAAGAGATAATTTATGCCTAATTAACCTAAAAGAGCCTTGAGGGTTCTTTTTTTAATAGCACCTCTCAATCTGTGTTGAGAAGAACATTAGTGCTTTGGAGTTTTATTAAAAAAAAAAAAAGTATTCAGTATTTAATTAAATTTGGGAAATGTTGGGTGAAACAGAAATGCTTCCTTGCTGTGGGATTTCTGAAAGCCTTTATAGGTTACTGAATATGGTATGTGGCCTTTCCCAAAGGCCACGCCCCCTCTCCCACCTCTGCCCCCACGCCTATTTACAGTGTTCCTTGGCACACAGATTAACATAGTTTAAAGCACAGCAAAGTTCTGAGAGCACTGCTCAGCAACTTCCAACTGTGCTAAGTATGCCTTTAAAGGCTCTGTGCACAGTGTAACCATCTCTGATTATGATGGTTGTCTGAAAGGGCATAACATAAACCTGATTCATTAACAACTGTTTTTTGAAGGTCTACTGTCAAAAAAAAAACAAAACAAAAAAACAACAAAAAAAAACCCACAAAAAAACACAGCACTTGCTTATGCATTGGCTGGCTATAATGAAAGAAGGAGAAATATGAAAAGAAAAATTCTCACTCAAGAGGTTGACTCTATCTACGGGGGAAGAAAAATACAAATGAAAAACTGTGAGAATATTTTCAGTAGTCCAGAGCAGGAAGACCTCTGGACAGGGGCACTAACAACAGGAAGAACACTCAGGCCCAGAAAGAGCTGAGTCTGGGAAAGAGGAGGCCAAGTTAGAAAAAGAGCAGAATTAGGTTCAATGGTAAAATAATCTTACGGGAAGCCTTAAATATCATGTAAAAAATGTTAGAATCTCTTTTCTTTCAACATTCATTCTAAGATTTGTTTTAAAACCTTATGCCTGAGTAGCTCTTGAGTGCTGAAAATAAATTTAATTATTTCTTATTATTTATATTTAGACTGTCTTTATTCTGCCCATTTTAGGACTATATTTTAGATATCTCACAGTTGTATCTAGATGGAATGCTACAATTCCAGACACTGCTACAATTTTAAATAATTTCCATGCCTTTTAACATGATAAGTCCCCCGTTATTCACCATTATACACCTATTAACACAACATTTAATTCGTAAAAGCAGACTATGGTCACAATTAAGACACAAGAGAACCCACAAACCAAAAAACATTTCATACAGACAATATCAACTTGTCCCACCTTCATTAAGTCGAGCAAAACACTGTTTAAAATTCCCAGATATCGTCTCTCCAGTGATTGAGGATGGTTAACAGCTGGAAACTGGAAGAACAACATGACAGGGTGTTAGCACAGGGGGAAGGGTATGCGTGTGCACGCACTATCATTACTAAAGAAGGTAGTAGCCGAACAGAAGTTATTCCCCTAGTGCCAACTGAAGTCAAATTTATTTCATATGGATATTATTTTTGGTGTCTATGTATTTGAGGTATAGATGAATAGAATTGGGTGTTAAATAACAGGAAACCTCACAGGTGGAAGATACTTAAATCTTATCAGACAATACTGAAGCGTGGAAAACAAACCAAAATATAAAAATTTGAAACTTTATTTATACAGTATTGTCTGCTTATATAGAGAATTCAGTTATAACACAGTTTATACAGAATTTCTCTGCTCATATAGACAATTCTTGTTTTTCTTATAACAACTCCTGAAAAATTAGAGAAGTAGAAAAAAAAAAAGAGAGAGAGAAAAAGACAGGTCAATTCCTGAAAGGCCACAGAAGTAGAATTAGTGAATTCAAACACACATTCTATTATTGCTTTTATACACTCTTTTAATGACCTGTTTTCAATTCCTTCCTTTATGTAAGTTGAAACAGAAGGCACGCAGGCTTGTAAATTAACAAAAGTATTTTTCGACAGAATGAGGGGGAAGAGGTAAGTCTATTTAGATGTTCTGTCCTTCCCTCTGCCAACTCACATTTCACAATATCTAAGTGAAGGTAAGGTATTAGGGCCCAATTCCATGAACTTCCTCCCAATGGGAGGGCTACTTTGCTTTTAACATAGATTTCCTTTATATCAACGTGAGAACATTTCAAAGTACTTAAATCCCTAAACATGCTAAATGAGTGGATGGGAGGATTGGTTATGACCTCACCCTCATCCCCACAGTGTGCCAGGTAGGACAGGAGAGAGAATATGGGTAAGACCTAAACCCTGCACTCAAGCACTCCTCAGTCAGGTTGGAAAGCAATCAGTACTGCACTATGCAGCTATAAATTCCACTTGGAGCTCACAGAAAGGAGAGACCCAGGTGGTTTGCAGCTGGAGAAGACAGACTGCATAACTAATATTTTAGCTAGGTTTTGAAAGATAAGAAAAATGTGAGGATGGAGAAAAGAAGGACAGCATCTTCTACTTAGAGGAAGTAGAAGCAATGCCATGAGCTCAATTAATACAGACATAAAGGCAATAACCTAACACTGATTTCTGAGGGAAGTGATGCTACATGAAGCATTTTAGCAATTATCATTGTTTTTATTTTCGAAACAAGGAAGGTGATGCTCAGAAAGTTCAAATAACTTGTTCGAGGCAAGTCACACAATGAAAAAGCAGTAGAATTAGCATTTTGCTCCCAAGTCTGTAGTCCAAACCTACACTCTTTCCAAACCAAGGCACCTCTCCTCAGGGAGGTACAGAGGTTTCTTTGGATGTCAGAGCATTAATTATTAGCCCAAAGAGAGAGAGAGATACCTGTCTTGCTGTGATAAAAGACTATACTGGCCCTGGCCGGTTTGGCTCAGCGGTTAGAGCGTCGGCCTGCGGTCCAGAGAGACCCGGGTTCGGTTCCCGCTAAGGGCATGTACCTCGGTTGCGGTTTGTCCCCGGCCCTGGTCGGTCGTGCGGGTGGCAGCCACTTGATGTGTTCCTTTCACATCGATGTTTCTCTCTCTCTCTGTTCCTCTCTCTCCCTCCCACTCTACCTGAACATCTAGTTCAGTAGGCCTTCTTTCCTTTCCTTCCCTTTCCTTTCTTTTCCCTTTCCCTTCTTTTCTTTTCTTACCCCTCCCTCCTTTCCTTCCTCGGTCAATGCCTTCTTACCAAGCACTTACTATGTGGTCTGGCCATCCTACATAAAACATTTAAACTTCACAACAACCCCATCAGGTGGAACTTCTGTTATCATCATTTCACACAGCAAGGAATAAGAGGCACAAGAAACTTGCCTAGGGCCATTCGAGTAGTAAATAAGGAGCCAGGCGTTGAACCCCACAGTATAACTCTAGAGTCTATGCCCTATACTATGGGAGAATAATTGTTACTTTTTCAAAATAATGTAAACACCATTAGAGCAACATCTTGTTCATTTTCCAATCTCTACACAACTGAATCAAAATGCAAATAACATAGACTGGTTATTGGTGAGTCCATGTTTCACAGCAGATGCTGGTCACACACCCAATGTGCTTAGCTATCTGTTGCAAACAGTCTCAAGCAAAATGATAAAGACTGTCCCTCAAAAGCTGTTAAACCTCCAAAAAGGTTAAAGCGATTTAGCTGAAACACCACAAACACTTTCAGACTAAAATGTAAAAATATTAAGGTCTATAAAAATCAAAATGTCATGGAAGTAGCAATTTCTCTGAAGGATATTTACAAGCAGTGTCATCATGTACTCTCTAGTAATTTACAGATAATACTGTTCAGTGAGGAAGTCTGTGAACTAAGAGTACCATAGACAAACGAGGAAAAGATAGCCTTCAAGTGGCCTATCTAATCCAAATGCTACTCATTCTTCAATATCCATTTCAAATTTCCACTTCTCTATAAATTGTTGTCTAGTGAATCCAGTGAGCTATGATTTCTAACTTTCCAGAACATTTCACACTCTCATGGCCTCAACCATGAGATGTATTAGAAAACAGTACAATGTAGTAAAGAATGTGGTGGTACTTTATTATAAATCATGCTTGAGTATAAGTTATATTGTTTTCTAATTATTTCACGCACAAATAGTTGAACTCTTCAGCTAGTTTTGTAAGTTATTAAGGCCAGGTACCATGACAGATCTGTTTATACTCTCTTCAGAGAATCTGGCATAGAACCTCTTCAACCAGGCAAAGAACCAGGCAGCCAGCAGGCAAAAGCTTGATGCTCTAGAAGTTAGTGTTAAAATCCTGAAGTCAAATATTCAATCATTTAATACTATTCAACCTAGTAGGCAGTATTCTAGGTGTGCTGTGAATATAATGGTGAACATAATAGTTCACTTCCTCAAGGAATTCATTAGTCCAGTGAGGACACATATTTGCAAAAAGAGACTGCAGTGAATGAGTGCTGCAAGAGAAATGACCAAAGTGCTACAGGAGCACTGAAGGGGAAAGTCATTAATTCCCTTGGAAGAATCTAGAAGGGCTTTAAGGGGATAGGGGTGGGGAGAACATTTGACATGAGTCTGGGGGAGGGCAGAGGAGGAAGAGCTTTCCAGGAAGTGGAGTGAGCATTGGGAGCATAATAGAAATGAAAATACAGCACTATAGAAGCAACATGTCAAGGAAATGGTGAGGAGGTCAATGTGGCTGCAGAGTAGGGGCAAGGGGAGGGGAAAGGGGAGAAGACGAGGTTGGGGGCTAGGAGCAAGGGGTTCTTACTAACACACTAAGGGAGTTTAAACGTAATCAGCAATCCTGCAGGGGCTTTTAAACACAAAGTAGATGAAATTAAATTTGCATTTGAGGGGAGAGGATTCTAAACACAATGTGAAAAGACTGAAGTGAAGAGAGAAAGTTGGAGCGATCAGTTTGGGAGCAGCTGTCAACAGTTCAGGTAACAGGTGTAAGAGTAAAGTAGCATTAGAGATGGAGAGAAGGGAAATATCATTGAACTTGACTGCTGCCAACACAGATTGGTTTAAGCACTCATTCAAATATTTCTTGAGTCCTACTAGATGTACTGGGCTCTGTGTTAGATGCTGGAAATACAGTGATAAAATAGATTTCTGCCCTTGGGGCATTATATTATAGTGGTTAAGAACTAGACAATAATTAACAAGTAAACAAACAAAATAATTACATATAATAAGTGCTATGATGGAGGAAAAAGGGTACTATGGAAGATAATAGAAAGGAGGTGGTAATATGTTGTGGGGTCAGAGAGAGCGGGCATTCTTGGAACTGAGATTTACAAAATGAGAAGGTCACACGAGGGAAGTGTCTTTACTGGAAGGAGGCACAAGTCTCAAATCCATGAAGTTGGATAAACCTTGGAATGCTTATGCAAGTCAAAAACAAAAAAAGAGCCCTGGTCGGTTTGGCTCAGCAGTGGACCAGAGTCCTGGGTTTGATTCTCACTAAGGCACGTACCTCGGTTGCAGTTTGTCCCTGGCCCCGGTTGGGGTTGTGTGGTTGGTAACCAGTCGATGTGTCTCTCTCACATCGATGTTTCTCTCTCTCTCTCTCTTACCCTCCTCTCTCCCTTCTGCTCTATCTGAAGATAAATGCAGAAAATAAAAAAAAAAATAAAAAAAAGAAAGAAAAGCAAGTGTGGTGATAGTGTGGAGAGGGAAGGGAATGGAGAGTGGTATGAGCTGAGGTCAGGGAGCTAGAAGGGCCTGGATCAGGTGTCATAGGCTATGGGAAGAAGTCTGGATATATTCTCAGCAAAACAGAAATTCATGAATTATGAATAACTTTGTCTGAACAGACTTTCCCTTCTGCTAGACTAAAGCTGAGTGAGTCCTACCTATTTTGTCATATCTTTAGCATCTAGTATGACAAATGCTTAATAACTGTTGAGCTCTGTGTACCCTGATTTATGGTCAGGATTTGGCTAATTTTTGACTTATGAAAGCAAAAATAAAAGAAGAGAAACTTGCTGGAGGTAACTCAGATTTGGAAGAGAGAAAAAACAGGAAAGAGATGAGAAACTATTCACTTCTGTTCACTCCTTTCTTTTGCACTCAGGAGTGGGTGCTGTGTTGGAAACGCACGTGTCAGGAGGGGTGCTCTTCAAGGTGAAATTAACTGAGGTCCAGAAAGTCAAAGGAAGAAACAAAGTGCTTCACAAATGTCAAGAAAACATAGTTTGAGAATTATGCACTTAAGAGGAAGAAAAGGAGTGGTAGTAAGCTTATTTTATAGTTCCCACAATGGCTACCACCAACTGGCATGCTGGCCCAAACAGGGTAGTTGATGACTAAAAACGTAGCTTTTGGGGTAGATGGAAGAGAGAAGCAGCCTATAACTGGCCACTTCCATAAGGTGTTTCTGCAAGCTGATTGTCCCTCACTTGGGGAAAGTTTATATTTTAAGACTCATTTTAGTATATTCTTTGAAAAGTTTTATACAACATTACAAGTCTAGAAAAGGCTGCCCAAGACAATATACTAGTCTGAATAGAAGACTTGTTTCACTGTCAACAGATGAACAAGAAATAGCCACTAGAACAGCACCTTTAAATCTGCAAAATGTTAAATATTCATAGTCTTCCTCAAATCATTACAAATATGTTTGCTCAAATAAGCAACAGCCATTTGTACAATTTTATATCTTCAGGAGATGCTTAATATTTTGTATAAAGAAATATTCTGAGATAACCAAAGTTTAGAATATAATAATACCCACACTTTCAAATACTTTGAAAAGTGGGAATGTACAAATTAAAAAATATATAAACAGCTCCCACTTTCATATTCAGACCACTTTATAAGATTCAAAAATAAAATATTATAATGGGGATTATAAACACTGTAATGAGAAAGGGAATAGCTAAGCATTCCATTGTGTAATGAACAGTGATTTAAACACTGCTGTACTGGTTCCATTTTTTGTTTTCACAAAGCCTCTTACCCGGAGCCCATGGAAGCGAGGATTACTGTAGAAGAGCTTCATTTGCTCAGATGGAAGCGGTCCTAGCACCTTCTGAATAGTGAAAAGTTGGTCAATTTCGCTTTCTCCAGGGAATAATGGCTGTCCATCACTAAGCTCTCCAAGAATACAACCCACTGACCACATATCTACAGATTTTCCATAGGGAGCTCTGAAAAGCAAATGGAGAGATTATCTTGGCAATTGAAGAAATACATTTTAATAATTTCCAAATTATTTGGAACAGATTGATGATTTAAAACACATTAATGTATTTAAGGAATTAAAAAGTGCCATGTGGAAAAAAGGGAGGCTAAAAAAAGGAATTATGGATATCCAAGTCAATAAATCTATGCTAATAAAACCATCAGTTTAGTAACAATTTAGACAGCATACACTAAGTTGAAATCTATTCACATCTGTGTGTATTTTGAACACGAATGGCTTAATAAACCTTAATATAGTGCACATGCCTGATAACACCTCACTTGGGGAATGAAATGCTCCCAAGAAATTTAAGTTCTAGGTCAGTGATTTTCAACTCATGGCACACACAAACTAACTACTACAATTCTGCAACACACCAAAAAATATATTTTTTTGCCGATCTTACAACACAATATTTATACTTTTAAAAAAATATATTTTATTGATTTTTTTAGAGAGGAAGAAAGAGACTGAAACATCGATCAGCTGCCTCCTTTACACCTCTCACTGGGGATCGAGCCTGCAACCCTGGCATGTGCCCTGACCAGGAATTGAACCAGGACCTCTCAGTCCATGGGATAACACTCAATCCACTGAGCCACACTGGCCCGGCACGATAAGTATAACTTTGACTGATTTACAATAATAATAATAACAACAACAACAACAACTTATGCTTTTTGCTCCAAAGTAACTTTTTAAAAAAATCAGATGCCTATACTTGTATATAATGATTTCTTGTATCAAGAATTAACCAATCAGACGCAACCTTATTATGCAACATGACCAATAAGATGCAACTCTATTATATGACCTGTATATTTATGGTTCAAGACAGAGTATTCACACAGGATGGCTATTATTGTGTTGGCTGTTGTCTTTTTTTATTTGATAAACTAAGGGAAAAGAGTCAGTGCCCCTGACTAAATAGTCAGGTATTGCATGTTTTAAAATTCTCGCGGCTCACCGGTTGAAAATCACTGTTCTAGATAATTATCCTTTAGCTCTCTAAATATCAAAAAGTTACATCTTATCTATTTTTGTAGTTCAGTCTACTAAAATGTACTACTGACTTATGAGTCTTTATTTGACTATAATGGTTGACTTTATTTTTTAAACTTTTTACTTAGTGCAAAAATTATATTTTTATTGTTGACACTATACCGATGTTCCCCCATTTCCACCCTCTTTTCCTACCTCCTCCCAGCCCCCACCCACCTTCTTACACAACAAGCAATGAGTATTATTTAACCTCTGACTGCATGGTCATAATTTCTAATAGCTAAGATTCTGCTAAGCTCTATTGAATTATTTACTTGAATCTATTTGTATTCTATATATGGGGCTTTATGATAGCTATTTCCCTTAAAGTATTTCCCATTACTTAGCAGTTTAACTCTCTTCTAGGATTTGAGTTTACCAGAGGGCTTTAACAGTGTTAACTATAATTAATAAATGAAGGCTATACACAAAAATCTAGGTATTATTAAAACAGCATTATATGTATACCCCAATATCTAATGCCTTAAGTCAAATTTTATATGGCAGGTTAAGTAAGAAACCATCTTTTCTTTAGCTTCAAACATAAATAATCTAAGCTTCAAGAAGGAGAAGTCAAAATAAAATATCTGAAAAAAAAAAGAATACAATTCTAGAATACCATAATAATATAGTAGTAATACAAAACTTTTAACAAATACTCTGAAATTAAAGCACTGTTAACATTGTACAGAATATGTTTCTAGGACAATAAATCAGTGAACAATAAGTCAGTATTTTATTTATCTCATTTCCTTCCCACAAAAACCTAAGAACCATATTAGAAAACTTCATGTAGACTGTCTTTTTGGTAGCTTGCTGGAGAGGGAAGGGTACTGATTTTTTTTTTTATCCTCACCCAAGGACATTTTTCCATTTTTTGTTCAGATAGAGTGGGAAGGAGAGAGAGGAAGAGAGAGAGAGAGAAACATCGACGTGAAAGGGACACATCAAGTGGCTGCCTCCCGCACGACCCAACCAGGGCCAGGGACAAACTGCAACCGAGGTACGTGCCCTTAGTGGGAACCGAACCCGGGTCGCTCTGGACCGCAGGCCGACACTCTAACTGCTGAGCCAAAGTGGCCAGGGCCCAATTTTTCTTTAACATCTACGACAGAGTAAACATGTGCTAGATGGAGAAACTTATGAAAAATCTCCACATACCCAGAAAATCTCCATATACCCACTATGCATAATTTCTGTTCTGTAAACCGGTTTGAATAATTTATACAGCTGGAACTATTTTGAATGTCAAAGACAAAGTTTTGAGAATGTACAGAAATATAAATTCTTAATCTTAACCAAATATCAACTGATATCAATGGAATTTTTACACAAATAATATGGTTCTTCAACTAGTACTTGCAATTATTAATTAGCAATATTCATGTTGAATCAAATAAGCTGGAGTCCCCTTCTACTTCTGGTAGCTTCCAAACCTAACCACAATTTTCTGACAGGTATTATTAGGCAGCAAATAGTCCCTGAAGTTTTGCAATAAGGCTGTCCTCAGAATTATCTTGTTGAGACCATCATGAGTCCTTCTACCACACTTGAATCCTCAGGTGAGGTTCTATGAATGATCTAATTTATTCACATTTCTTCTTTGGCAAACACTGTTTAGTAAATCTAAATTACAATCTCCCTCAAAAGAAAATGTACTATGCATCCCATTTGAGTCCAGACAGAGGGATACGAAGAAACAGGCAAAAACAACCTCTGTGGACATCCACGTTCGTACTGCAAAAGATTATTAACAAAGATGACAGCAGTTAACTCCTCCGATTTCCACACATCTCCCACTTTGTAATGTGACCCTGCCACTCCTCCCATCAAGAGCTGGAGTTTATTTTTCCATCCCTGGAATCAGAACTTGGCCATATAATATGCTTTGGCCAATGAGGCAAAAGACATGCAAACAGAGGCTTGAAAACAACTTTTGGTTTGGGGCTTGTCCTAATGCTGCAGGGAGTTCTGTTATCACACAAAGAAACTTGGACTAGCCTACTAGAGGATGAGTCCCCATGGGATGGAGATGCTCGGTCCCAGCTAAGGCCCCATAAACCAACCACCTCCAGATGACCTGCAGACTGACTATAGATAGCTACATGAGCAACTGTAGTTGAGACTAGCAGAACCATCCAGCTGAACTCGAATTGCTGACCTCCAAATCACTGGCACTTAGAACTGTGAGCAAATAAAATGGTGTTTTGTTTTATGCCATTAAATTTTGGGGTGGTTTGTTACACTAGAATAGGTAACTGGTATTTAATTAACTGACATTATTTTCCATAGATGATCCAAGAGCTAATAATAAAGGATCAGCAGATGTGCAAATATTCTATTTGGGGAAGGTAACTCACCCAAGTAAGAGTTCTGGGGACCGATACCACCTGGTGGCCACATATTCTGTATAATTAGCATTGTTGCCTTCTGATAGATTCCGAGCAAAACCTGAAAGATAGCAAAGCCCAAAGGTGTAACTTTGAAAAAGAAATAATAATTTCATGTTGGCCAAATATTTCAGTGCTAGAAATATTTTAAAGGAACATCAAAAGAACATAATGACTAGTATTGATGGGCTGTTCATTAATAGTGTCCTTGCTATTTTAAAAGGTTAGTCCACTGTTCATATGCCAATTAAAAATATGTATTCATTAAATAAAAAAGTCTCCCCCATGCTAAAGAAATCTGTTTTTAAAATCATCACATGCTTTAATAAGCATTCAGAACACATTTTAAAATAGTTTCCCCAATAAATACAAATCTTAGAAACAAAATAAAGTCCCACAAAAGCCAGAAGCCAAAGCTAAATAGTGTGTCACTGCAGTCATTACATTCTGCAATGTGGGACGTTCATGTTACTAGTATATCTACTGTTGCTGTCAGCTCTAGCCATTATATAAACAAGTAACGGCTGGCAATAATGGAAACAAAGCTGGCCTAAATTATGTTTATCTCCTAAAGTGACTGAGAACCATATTAGAGGCATCTTAATTACCTTATAGACTCTATTACTATTCCCCCCAAAACACTTTCAAGAGGTTTTAGGGTCACAAAATAAACCAGCAGGTAAGTTAATTATCCATCTAACTCACCAAAAGTAATATGGATTCATTGTGAACAGTGATAGAAAACTAGAACATTAAAATTATGGTATCAGTTTTGAAAAGTAGAAAATAGTATTTCTTAAAATGGAACAGTGAAATATAAAAACCACAGCAAAACAAAAACAAAAAACCAAAAAACAAAACCCTAACTTCAGTTAATCAATACTTCTTTGTAAAACATATTTTGAAGAAATATTCATATTTTTAAATGGGGTTCTTCCAGCTAAACAAAGAAACTACAAACTCGGGGAGGGAAAGCAATCGGGAAGTCTTCATAGGGGATGCCCAGGGCAGTGGTGCTGCCATGAAGAACTTCCGGCCCATAAAAAAATGTTTTTTTCTACAAATGATGCTAGACCAGAAATACTCTTTTCCTATTACTAACCATTCTACAGGCATCTTTTGTAACTTGCTTTACAAATTTCAGTTACTCTAGAGTTTAAACAGATCACCAACTCCATAGTTCATGGATGCACAGTAAAGGTTCTATGAAGCGCACAGTCTCAGTACTTGGTGGTTATTACAATTATGGATAGGAAGTAAAAAAACAGATATTATTCCTGAAAATCATAATGCTAAGGAAATGCTAAAAATGCCATGATCAAAATCTTTTAAATACAGTGTTCAGTATTTTCTTTTTATTCTCCTAAGCTCTTCTAATGATGATTAGGATACAGCAGGACTCTTCTCTGAAATCTTCCTTATCATAAAGTATGAAGAAAATTAAGTTCTGTAAAACATTTTTCTCAAGCAAGCAGGTTCAAAATATTCAAATTCTTTAAAAACACTAGGTAAAAACAGCTACACATGCTTCCAATTGCTACAGTAGACAAAGTCAGTCATTCTAAAGTGAATTCTTGGAATGTTTTCATGTCTCACTTATGCACTCCATCTCCCAAGTACTCATCTAACTTTTATTTACAGAAAGAAATGTCTTCTCATTTATATGTAGAGGTTTACATTGTATGTGATTTTATTTGAATATCTGAAAAAATAACATTTAAAAAAGTCAAGTTATTTTTCAACATATGGATTAGACAAAAGTACAATTTACAAAAGTGACTCATGACAATACCTTATATTTTTAAAACTTTTCTGAATTAGTTCAATTTAAATGTTTAATAGTGTTTAATACATGGGAAATAGCATACAATTTTCTACTAGAAGAGACTACAACTCAAAAACTTCCTTATACACTCAACCAGGAGCTGGAGTATCACACATCAATCACTAATATCATTCACTGAACATTTAAAGAGAATATCAGAATTGTTCTAAAAATGTCTTTTGATCTTACAGATACATAACTTTTGCATTTACACTACACACACGTGTATTTACATAGGCATATTTTCAGTGTTTATAATTATGCCTCCAACAATTTCTACCAACATTTAAAATAGTTTTTAAAAATTTTAATCCTACTCAAACCGGAAGGCCACAGTGGTATTTCCTAGAGAACTCCCTTTCAGGGGTCATTAACTGCCGGACTTATGAATATATGCACATGCATGTATTTGCGTTGAATTCTCATTAAATAACTACTGCATGATGAATTTTTAAAAACAGTAGACAACACTATGTAAACCAAAGGGAGAGTAGTATTCTTCCTCCAATCAATTTTTCAACATACAACCAAATAGAATGTTCCTCTGCTACTTTAAGTCAAAACATAAAAAAAAAAAAAAATCTTTTAATATGCTTGTAAAAACTACCTACGTGTTATATTAATTTTGTATAATGGTCCCCCCTTATCATAGGGATTATATTCCAAGACCAACCAACCCCCCAGTGGGTGCCTGAAACCACAGATAATACCGAACCTGTATGTGCTGTTTTTTCCCTATATATCCATACCTTTTCACTTAAAATAAGCATTTTACAGCTTTTCTTGCACTTTGGGGCCATTATTAAGTAAAAAAAGGGTTACTTGAACACAAGCACTGGTGTACTGAGACAGTCAATCTGATAACTGAGACAGACACTGTGATTCACATCCCAGGCGAGATAGAGCAGGAAAGTGTGATTTCATCACGCTACTCAGAATAACTTAAACTTATGAATTTGTTATTTCTGGAATTTTCCATTTAATATTTTCAGACCTCAGCTGACTGTGGGTAACTGAAACCACAGAAAGTGAAACTGCAGATAAGGGAGGACTACTGTCCTTAAAGGGCTCAATTTCTTTTCAACTTACCGAAGTCACACAGTTTCAAAACATCATTGTGGCTGATTAACAGATTTTCTGGCTTGATATCTGAAGCATCAAGATTAAAAAACAATTATTAAAAAAAACGTCCCCCGTACTGCTGATTGACACCATTAGATCACTATAACAGCACCTAACTAGAAATATCCAGAGTGGTCTGAATAGAAACCTGTGGCAGTGAAAAGCAGAGTAATACATTTTATGCTGGTACATAAACGTTTCAATTAATTTCTTTTTGAGGAGCATGCAGACTACAATTTCAAATTTCAAAAATATTTTCCCCTTATATCTTAAGGGCATTAAATGCATTTCTGAAAGGAATTTAAGAATGATTGATTCCAAGCTACCACATTTTAAGGAACTATTTTTACTTTATAGAACACTAATAATACAAATTTTCAGAGACAGAATATGAAATGTTTACACTTACAAGATACCTTATAAGCACACATAAGAGCAAGTAACCTAGTATTATATTTACTGGAGGGAAAAAATACATACAGGGTACATTTTCTATGTAATTTCTATATTTATGTGTATCTTTAGCTTTTCTATGTGGTTAACATTAAAAATCTCTAATGCTAAAGCTATATTAAATGAGTCAAGATTTCTCATTTTTTCACGGATCTTTTGAAGATGTGGTGGGAGTTGAGTAGAAATACACAGAAAATGCAGTTTAATTCCCCCCTTGGGAGGCGCCTCACAACTGCATTTTTGGAGTACTTATTATCTATATCATATGGTAGAGGTGGAAATGGAGAAAGGGAAGGGGTAGAAATGAACTTTGTAGAGTTCAGCATCATGGCTTCTATTGCTAATTCCCAGCCATTGATTTACTACACACTTACTAAATTACTGTTATCACCATGGAAATGCAGCTAAATCAGTTCCTTATTAACGCCCTCAAACTGTATAGTATAGACTGGTATTTTACCCTAGACACTAGATTTCCAGCTAACTTTGAGATCTATCCATGCTACCCTTGATAAGGTAACGGCTATGAAAGTCAAATACAAGAGAAATATCAACTATCTCTTTCTAGAAATAATAGTTGGCAGTCTAAACAAGGTATTCTTCAAGTAAGACTATCTTTAAAGTGGTACCTTTGTGTCTCTATATAGGTTAACTAAATATAGCATTCTCTTATTTGATCATTCAAAGACAAACATATTTTAGCTTCATTACTGTACCAATTTGCATCCCATTATTGTATAACTGGAATGTAAGAGAGATTATCAGAAGATAAATGGTGTAGAGTTAAAGATGGTGCTGAGAAAGTAATTTCCTTTTTATTGCTATAAACAATGCACCTCATGGCAATAAAAGACAAAATAAAACAGTTTATGGAAGTATAATCATGGCCTTTATGTCAGGTTGATCATGCATGCAACCTGCAACAATGGGTACTTTTCAGTAACAGGTAGGGAAAATTAGGAGGTGAAAATACACATGGAGATCTTGGTCTCCAAGGGAATGAGCAATGACTGTCAAGGCAGTGGTAGTGGGGTTGGGAGATGGTGTCAATGACTTAGGGGACTATCTCTAAAGCCTCATTTGGGGTTTGTTTCACATTACCTGGTCTACCTGCAGGACCAAAGGCAATGGAGAGGGTCTCTCTCCCTACCCAGTAAGCTCCAGAGTTCACATCTGTTGAGTTCTTTATAACATTAGGTGTTTCTATACTTGAGAGTGAATATGGCTTTACAAACAGAGATCTCACCATAATATCCAAGTAAATTTGCTATCCACCCTTTTTGTAATATAAAAGGAAACTTGGAAGGCAAACGATGCCTCGTATCCTGTACTTTCAAAATGTATTTAATTTAAATGGAATGCCATGTCTATGGAAATATAATTATGAGAGCACTATGTGAAATTTTTTATTGTTAACTTTATTTGATGTTTTCTTTAATATTTTCTATTTCAAAAATTCCATACTTACCCCTATGAACGATATCATTCTTATGGCACCAGTGAATAGCTTTGATCAGCTGATAGATATAACTTTTTACTTTTTCAGGTGGAACTCCATTTGGCATTTCTTCCAGCAATTCAAGCATATTCTAAAAATTAAATAGGGAGCCATTAATCTCTAAAATTATGTAGGCCCATAAGCCATGTATTAACAATTTAAAAAAGCATCTTGGATGATAATTCATCCAATACACAGCCTGCACTTTTAAATTGTTTTGCTTTTCATCTATAACCTTTTTCATATTGAAGTAGGATGTTGTATTAAATCAAGGTTCTTTTTAAAGAGAATTTCCTACTCCCCAGTGCTGTCCCAAATAATAACCCTGTGTACTTTTCACTCTCCTTAAAACCTTTCTGGCATCATGTTAGTAGTTTTCAAAGGAAAGGCAATACAAAGTAGAGATAAGACAATGTAATATATAAATTGGGGTGGGGGGAGTCATTTAAACAGTTCATTGTGCATCTTTAAATACAACTCTGCAATAAAACCAAGCCTTGAAAATATTTCTGGTAGACCTGGAAAATATTCTTAAAAGAAACAATCCCTAAGATTAGCAGTGATCAATACAATCAGTATAAAAATTAAAACAGGCTAGAAAAGGTTGCTGAAATAAAAATTCAGACTCTAAACAAATCAATATTGAAAAATGTCAGCCTGGAGTGGCCATTCTAAAATTCATGGAAATTTTTTTTTTTAAGTACAAACTCCACTTAACCAGTCTTACTGAATTTCCAGATTAACTAAATATTCTCCATTCTCTAGGTAAAGCACAAGACAAAGGCCCACAGAACCATTCGAGTTTACTGTCTGTAGATGACCAGGACAACAGTTCTCAAACCATGCAGAGGGCCCATGGAGTCAAAACTATAGTCATAATAACACTCGGCCTTTTTCATTTTGAGGGCATTTACACTTATGGCACAAGGCAACAATGGATAAATTGGTGGCACTTTAGTATGAATCAAGACTTTGGATTCTTCAATGCCACACCCTTGCAGTTAAAATAAAAACAAACCAGTTTTAGTTAAGGATGTCTTTGATGAAGCAGTAAAAATTATGACTTTTATTAAATTTCATTTCTTGAGTACATGTTTTTAGGAATCTACATGATGAAATGAGGAATATACATAAAGTATTTCTTGCTGCTGCACATCAAAGTATGACGTTTGTCTTGAGGAAGAGTACATGGGCAATGGCATTGCAAACTGAACAAGCCAATTCTCTTGTGGAACACCATTTTTTACTTGAAAGAATGACTGACATACATGTATTTATGTTAATAGTATTGTTATTTAAATGACTTAACTGTTTTTATATTGTTCAGTTTTGACTTCTAATCTGAGAAATAGTAATAGATAAAACTCGCATAAATGAAAAGCTTTTAAGATTCCCAATAACATTTAGAAATGTAAAGCAGTCCTGAGACCAAAAAGTTAGAAGGCTGCTGCTCTCATACATGACAACTTTGTTCTCACCAGCAAGTGGTATACATACAGTCAGTTTTTTTGTTTTTTTGGTTTTTTTTGTATGTGCCCCTAGTGGGAACCGAACCCGGGACTCTCTGGTCCGCAGGCCAATGCTTCAACCGCTGAGCCAAACTGGCCAGGGCTACATATAGTCAGTTTTTGTTTACAACATAGCCATACCTATTTATAACAGATGCACTTGTTATTTTATAACTAAATATCACATAAACCAATGAAATGATGTTTTTAAAAAAGAGTTACTGTTTGTAAGAAAATTACATTTCATGCTCTGGAAAGGACTAATAAAGGAAAGCCACCAAACATACTGCCCTCTTATCAAATGTGAGTATAATAATCACAAAACACTGGCAAAGATGGTGAGGGGGGGTGATCAGGACTCTGCACTGACGTTGCTTTGTGATGCTTTTAAGCTTTTGCCTCATTTTAAAGAAGCTGGCACGGGATATCACAGTTGATGCATTATGGGTATGATATATGCAAGAAAGACCCATCAGAACACCAATCAGAAGATCAGTACTCAAAAGGCCTTGACCCTACCTCTGAAGAATGGTAAATCTGTATTTATTTGTTTTAAGTTAAAATAAAATGTTTAAAGTATGTATACACTATTTTTTAAATGATTCTCCACTTGAATTACCTTTTTCAATTAACAAATGCATAGGAGCTCCCAAATGCACAAGAGGAATAAAAGGACTTTGTAATAGAGAAAATCAATTGTCTAATTTCATATTGGACTCTAAACCCCTCAGTGACAGAGAGGAATCCATTCTTCTCTCATTCCAAAGTAATACAATTTGTAAGTGGATGCATTGGTGCCCAGAATAAGGAGTAGATTTTCCCTCTGCCTTGCAGCTAGTGTGGCCATGCAACTAAGTCCTGGTCAATGGGATGTGATAGCTGGAGTTCTATCTTGACCATGAGGACAAGGGCCACATCTCAGCTCTCAGCGGTGGTAAGCAGAAAGGCAGAAGCAACCTAGGACTCCTACGGTTGTGGAGTTACCATATCAGCGTTGTACTTCCCACCTTTGTATTTGTATGTGAGAAAGAAAGTTCTATTTTGTTTCAGCTCCTGTGATCCTGCATCTGTTACAACCCCCTACCCTTAAAGCATCTTTCTCCTTGCCCTCTTGAGACTTGTTAATCGTTAGGCACTGCCACTGATGGAATGGTATGATGGTCACCTTCCACCGAAAAAAACACAGGGCCAGAGCAAGAATCCCAGACCTGGGGGTCAGAAGACTGGAGTTCTGATAGCAGCTCTGCCTCTTACCAGCAGAGATCTCAGATATGACAGATTATCTGAAACAAAGAGGTGATTTTTCCATTTGTTCCTACTAAACTGTAGTTGTCAATAATCACCATGAGTAGAACAGAAATAAAAAGGATAAACTGAAATACAGATGTCAGAATTTTATTATTTGGCAGTGGAAACTGCAAATGGCATGATTATTTTTGACAACTGAAAAATAATTTAAACAGCATCTGATTTAACAGCAATACTTTTTTTTTTTTAAATCAAAGTTCCGTTTTATTTTGGTGGGAAAGGTCCCTTAAGAAAATACCTAAATCGACACAGAAAAAGAAACCTTGAAACAGATTTTAGAGGGAAAACACTTGTTTAAAATAACAAAGAACTTTGTAATTTTTCAACTTCTGCTTATAATGAAGTTACTATATAGTTTTTTAGTTAGAAAAATAGTTGGTAACGGCTGGATTAATTTGAAAGCTACTGGTTACTGGTCAGCCATCTCGGCAGCACTGCTTTCTGTTTCCTGATGATGATGATGGTGGTGGTGATACTCTGTCCTTTATGCCATAGAATGCACCTGGGGATTGATCTAAAGCAAGCATAAACCTCTCCAGTCTTAATCTTTAGATAATAACACAGAAACTCAGCAGAGCCACCTATTCAATGATCAAGGAAACCTTCAAAGGTGTGTCTGGCTCTAGTTTATTTTCCTCTTGTTAAGGTACTAATTTAAGTTCTTGACAATAACCAACTGCTGTAGGGTCAGCTGCTGTCCAAGAAAATCATAGGCATAGAGGATGGATTACTGCAGCGTACATTTGTTCTTAGGTCCCATCATTAAAAATGTTCCTAACAGTTAAGAATTTGTAAAAAGTATACTAAAGCAAGTGCACAGACAACTCGAACAATGTGTGATTTTCTTATTTTCTCCCATGTTTCAAATTCCTTTACCTGTGGTCTCATCTACCTCCTCAAGCCTCACCTTATGCCTCCTGGCACACCTGCTTCCCTCAAATATAGCCAAAGCACTGGCAATTCACAAAAGGCTGCTTTATGAGCCCACCCTCTCACCAACATAGGTCTGATTCAGACACCCATCCTATGCTTATGAGTTATCTTACACGTACCTCTACCTGTACTATCACTGCCCATTTATTTGTATCTCCCTCAGAGGCCTCGCTTAGGTTTAATTAAAATAAACCAAGTCTAAAAATTACTTGATGAACAGAGATTCTCAGACTGCAGAAGCCAAATCAACACACTGTTTAAACTCAAGATTATATCTATAGTTAAATTGTATAAAATCTGTCAATATATTTCAAGACTTCTCTAGTGATTATGAGTAATGTTTTCTATTTTGAAAGTCCTCAGATTATGAGAACAGGGACAAGTCATACTAGATAATAATACTCCCTTGAATGGTGTCAGAAACAACCCTAAATAAAAGAATCAGGCAAATCTCCACAGCATCAGTGACTTACTTTTTCAACATACTCAAAAACCAAGTATAATTTCCCCCTCCGACGAAAGGCTTCTTTCAGTTCCACAATGTTTTCCTGTTTGAGAGTACGAAGCATTTTAAGCTCTCGTAAAGTCGTTTCCTTGACTTCTTCATTTTCTAGAATGCAAACAACGGTGAATAGGGTAAAATTAAAGCTTTCAAACTACTGTTCAAAAAAAATTCTAAGAACAATGAAAACATACTAATTTCATATTCCACTCTGAATACTTCTGCGTAAGTCCAAGGATGACATTATTAAATACCATCTTTTCTTTCTTCTTTCTTTCTTTCTTTTTTTTTTTTAAATAATATCTTTTCTTGTTCAAAGTATCAAGAATAAGATACTTAAAGAAAAGACTTACTTGACCAGCACGAACATACTGTTCGGCTTGGATTTTCTTAACTTCCGTATTGTACAGTGTGTATGTAAAACACAGAGTTTCAGGTACCATATATGAATCCACTGTCAGTTTAACTCTAACACTGCATCTGAGGAAGGAGTTTAAAAGGGTAAAAAGGAATCAACTGAATCACTGTGCAGAGGAGCCTCTGCGCAGCGTCTGTAGCAGTTGATGTTCCTAAGTTTGGCCTGAAGCTTTGGCTTAAAAAAGCATTTTATTCCTCAGGCTGCATGTGAGTCACCTCAGTGAGCAAAGGCCAAGTGCCAGGCACAGTCAAATTGCAGGGAATTCTAAGCATGTCTGATCTTCTCTCAGAACAGCAGCTGCTGTAGGTTCCTGCCGTCCTCCTGTGGTATGTCCATCTGTCCATCCCAGATGGTGTAGCTGTACTAGAGTGGAGAACTTAAGCTGAAGCAACATTCCGTTCCATATCATCAATGTCACTCATGATAACCCTCACAGACATGGAGGAAGGACAAAAGTCACATTAACTCTAATGGACTCATGAACAGGGAAGTGGGGAAGGTAATATTTGGCTTTAAATGAGTTTTTATGATTTAGCCAAGAAATTCTAACTGCCATGTTTATGTATGTATACATAAGGATATAAGTTCATAATTCTTTATCTGCAATTCCAAGAACCCAAATATCAGTCTAAACACTGAACACTTTTTCTAAATTTATGGCAAATCTCTTTAAAGGCAAAACTTGGCCCTGGCCGGTTTGGCTCAGAGGTTAGTGGCAGGCCGCAGACCAATGAGTCACGGGTTTGATTCCAGTCAAGGACACGTACCTCGGTTGCAATTCGTCCCCAGCCCTGGTTGGGGTTGTGCGGGAGGCAGCCACTCGATGTGTCCCTTTCATGTCGATGTTTTTCTCTCTCTCCCTCCCACTCTATCTGAACAAAAATGTAAAAATGTCCTCGGGTGAGGATAAAAAATAAATAAAGGCAAAACCTGAACTGACACGAGACCATTTATAGTCTTTGTGTATGCATCCCACTCAGTATGAATATTCTTATGCCGTGCTTTAAAAACAGTACCTGATTACAGGGTGCTAAAGTAACATGACATATTTTTATTCTAAAATCCAAAAATTATCAGTTCTGAAATACATTTGGCCCCCATGGTTTTGAGTAAGGATCAAAATCCTAGCTTGAGAGTCTAAGTTGTGTGACCTTCAGGTTCAGGCACGTCTAGGAAATGGGAGAAAATGGAGTTCACTGATAGGAGCGCGAAAGATTAAGATGCCTTCTAGGAAGAAATACTTCCTAAGCAAAATACACATACGAAAAAATGCCTGAAGGGGCCAAAGGAGGAGAGGAGATTCTAAATGTAGGGCCAGGAGTAGTTCTCAGATTATTTTCTATCCCAACTCCCAGTCAAATTGAGTTTAAAGAAAGGAGAACTGGTTACACAAATAAAAAATTCTCCTTACTTCAGCACAAAAACTGTTGGAGAAGGCTGGAACTTAGATTAGGAAAGGACAGACAGAGACACTGCCTATCAGAAGGAGGGCAAGAACTAGCAGTAGCTAAGGCCAGCAGTGGTTTAGCCAGTGAACCAGCCCAGCCCATGTCAGGGGTACTCACAGGCCCACATCAGTGGAAAAGAGCATGACACAGTGGGGCCACCTGGCAGTAGGGGGAAAAGGTGTGTGATGTGATTGGGGGACTTCCCAAAGCAGCTTAGGGGATGGGGGCAGAGAGTGGGGGGATGGACACAGAGGTCCAGCTGTTCTGCTAGTTGGGGCTGAGCCACAGAAGTGGTATTTTGTGACTGTTAGAACTGCTAAAGCCTAGGGAACACTAAAAGCCTTTAGTCTTATGAAGGCTAACCTGATTTCCTGATATCCCATCTGAGTTACTCTGAATGTTGGGGTAATCAAACTAAAATTCACCTATCTCTAAGACATAAAGGGCCACACAGGTCTCAGTAAGAAGCAAGTGCTCTTGACTGAGCAAGAGATAAATATATTGATGACTCATGACTTGGTCCCTGCCTACTTTTCTATCCTAATCTCATGCCCCTCTTCCGCTAGTCTTTCAGTTCCCAAAACAGCCTCAGACTTTATTTTTCAACATTAGGGCCTTTGAACTTGCTCCCTCTGCCTAGAACTCATTCTACTCCAGGGATAGCTCCTTCAGGTTTTAGTTTAAATGTCACTCCTTACGAGCCTTGCCCAGAGCACTAAACTGAAGCAGGCCTCCATCACTATTATTCCTTATCACAGGACTCTGAATGTTTCTTTCAGAACTTCACAGCATCTTTATTTATGTATTTGTTTTCTTACTGGTTTACCATCTGTATGGCCACTCCTGCGAACTGAGAGCTCTGTTCAACCATATGTGCCTAACAACCTAGGATTGTACCTGCCGCAAAGAGGGGATGGATAAATACTTCTTACAAGAATGCTTCCACTGGTGCCGTGAGGAAATCTTTGCTCTTAGGTGGCTTGCTCCTATTCCCTTAAGACATGGGTTAAGTAAGACATGGGCAGCCGAAATGTGAGACCTAGATTTTGTATGCTTTTAAGCAACTAACACGGTGAGGTGTGACTTGGGTAAGCCACTTAATTTCTCATTCATAAAATAAATAAAGGGGCACACACACCCTAAAAAAACCCATGACCTTTTCTAAGTTTAATAATCTGATTTCTTTTCATTAAAGTCTCATTGATTATGAGCCTAAAGCTCATTGAATTTTGGTTCTTTGTTATATATACATCATTCAAATCTATACTAACTCTACTTAAGAATGGTTATAGAGAGGAGAAAGGAATCTTTAAAAAGCAGCTCACAAAATGACTTAGTATGTACTGCCCAAACCACATCATTCGAGTGGCCTATCTTTTTTGGGAAATGAAGGCTTCTCTAATTTATGACAGATATTAAAAGTCGAGGTAAGCATTTCGGCACTGAGATTGTAATAAGTGGGAATGGGCAGGAAGTGGAACTATTAATTTCCTAAGTGCAAGCAAAATGCACACTTCATTATTGGGTATATTTTATTATTTTTGTTTCTCTGAGCACTTTTTAGGTTCCTGGACTAGCCTGGACTTTATGATGAAAATTGGGGCACTAAACAATCAATCAGATGATGGAGAAAAGGATAGTACCTTTCACTTACGCCTGTTTCTCTCCCCAGAGGTTCAGAAAGTAGCCATGTTCTTTAGTGAGGTAGTTTTTAACAAGTGGGGGCAGAGCCCACTGAAGGGAGCACAAAAATCCCTGCCTTCTACTAGACAGAATCCTATAGATTCTTTGTTTTGGCCAGGCTCCTCCAGTTTACAAATGAAGAAACCAAGTCGAGGAAGAAGAACTTTCTAAGGGTGAGTGAAGAGAATGCCACACTGAATAGAACATAGAGACATAGGCAACATGGTGGAAGGCAGTGAGTGAGCTTTGGAGAGTGGGTTGGAACAGCCAGGTTCCGGTCTAGACTCTGCTTTTGCTCAGCCGAGTGGCAAAGCAGCATGCTATGGGTGGAGGAAAAACTCAACAAAGACCCTGGGGTCTGTATCTTAGTCTCAGTTAACCACATACTAGCTGTGCAGCTTTGGGCCTTCAGTTCCACGGCTGTAAATTAGGGCTGAGGTTCTGCTAGATGATTCAGATGGTCCTTCCAGCTCTAAGAGCTGGTATTTCCATGCTATTCCTACGATGTGCATGCAGATGGACTTGGGCATCAGTTACTGAGGGTGTTGAGCTTAGCACAGACAGTAACTCTGACAAAGTCATATAAACTCTGAGTGGTGACTAAATGGCAGGGCAGAAAAAGAACATTAATCTAAAAAAACAAATAAACAAAAAGAAACTATTTCTAAGCTTGCCAGGAAGGCAAGTTAAAGTTAACACACCTAAAAATCAAGAAGAGAGATTCACTAAAGTTTTTAAAAAAATGTAAAGAAGATCACAGGAGCAAAAGAAATGCAAAGATATGTGATGAAAAGAGAAAAGATCTAAAGATGAGCTGAATCTCTATTGTAACTCTATTTTTAAAGAACAGTGGGCTTGGAAAAGAAATCCAGAAATAGCTGTAACCTACTTTTTGAAATCACAACCCTGACATTCTTGTATAGCCAAAGAATCCCCCCAAAATGTAACTTTAAACAGGTAAATTGCAGGAGGAGTAGGCGGGGGCGGTGAGCCAACCCATCCTTGTATAAAATCAAAAGGATGCTACGTTTGAGTCTGGTTGCCTTGCTGAAGAATGAATATAAATAGGAGGACAATTAACAGGGCCAGTAGGGTTTGAATTGTGATGCTGTCATATACACCAAAAAAGATGAGAACTCTTAAATCTTCAGAGATGAAGACCAGGTAAAGCACAATAGAAGTTTATTAAGTCATGAAAGGTGTAAAATGTTCACCACATCCTAGAAGAATCCCTGAAGTTTGAAAGAGATCGATTTTGGACATTAAAAGCAAGTGTCGTGAAATCATGACAAGCAGAATGCTCAAGCTTAGCTAACTGAATTACCTGTTTAACCAGAGTATGGAATGTTAGTTTTGAGGCCTCGCTTATGGAGAAATCAAGATTTTGAATTTAAGGACCAAAGATTATGAACTCTTGTTTTGTGCCATTATACAAAATAAGAGTCCAGAGTTCCTTTCTAATGTCTGGGTAAAAATAAGAATGAAATGAATTGGAAGAAAAAAAATGGATCAAGAAAATATTTTCTCATGATTAAGAAGAATAAATATGTCCATTCCAA